CCAGCTATAACGCTAGGAACTGAGAAATTATTAGGCTGCTAGAAAGAAAGGCTTATTTTATAAAATTTACCCTTTTCCAGACATTAACTTGGGTTAACTGAAGCCAGAAGAGTTCAGATCTAGCAAGTAGTATTTTGTGAAAATTATGAACTGCAGTACCACTGTCCCCAGTACCCCTAGCAGATGGAAGTAGTGTTTAAACACACTAAGTTCATGGGTGGAACCCTGCCAAAAATGCTATCCACAAACAGGACCTAGGAGGATTCAAAGATTATCTTGCACTACACAGCAGCATGGAGTTTTTGTTTCAGCTGCTGGGATTTATTTCATTCTGTTGAGCTTCTTTTTTGTTTAGATCTTGGAATGATGGGTCTATTAGAAACATGTCACTAGAAGACAAGATTTCCCCTTCATTATTATATGTGCACACTGAAAGAGAAATCCACAGGGCTTCCACCTCTAAATGCTCCTGTCTGGGGAAATCTCCCATGAAATACAAGTATGCAAAGAAATATATAAATGTCTATTCCTGCATCACACATGCTTCACAATATGTTGGTGCTTGACTGTAACTGCATTGAGTTACAAAGGATTGGAATGACAACAGTAAATGTCAGAACAATATTTGAACACTCACAGAACTTGAACTCCATTTTTGTCTATTCATAAATATCCATGAGAAATTTCTCCTGAACCACAATCTTAATAAAACAAGACTTAATAAAAGAAGGAAATTTATTTGAAATGGAAAGAAACTGGATATTTTTTCCACTCTTGCAAAGGATTTGCAGAAATACTTGAAAGATCCTAAGTTTGGCTATTTCTTCAATTTTCTCCAGATTTTTTCCTCTAGAAGGGAATGAAATATTGATATAAACCAGTTTGTGTTTTGCAGCATATTAATATACTGATTTTCTCAAGGAGAGAGAAGAAGGGGAAACCTTACTGTGGAAGAACAGTGAATGTCCTGAGAACAACCTGAAATGCCAACTTAGCGTTTTTGCACTTCAAAAATGTCTTTAACTTTTATAAACAGCCATGATGGTAAAATTGAGGCTGTTAAAAATACATGGTTTACTTCAGTAGTTTATAATTCACAGTGGCATTTAGTGGGTGGAGTTGTAAATTAGTAAGTGGACTGTTGCCACAGCAGAGTAGGCTGCTGCTCTGCAAAGGAGAAGCTTTGCTAAGAATAGGAGTGTGGTCATGATGATAATGAACAAGGGCTCCACATGCCTGAAACGTTGATGGAGATGGTTGTTGGATCTTTAACAGCTGCTCTAGAAATTAGATGTTATCAAAGATCTGTCTGAAAGATTGAACTGGATGAAAAGCACACAAAACTTAACCAGTAAGGCCTGGTTTCAATTTTTAGTAACACTACCGAAAGGCAGAGTGGCACACAAAATGTTTATGCTGTCAATAAATTGGAAGGTACAGTTTTACAGCCAACAAAATGCTATGTTTATTCTGCTTCAAGAGGGAGGCAGGATTGCAGCAGTCTCTACACATAAAAGTCTCTACTTTTTCCCTATTGCTTTCACATTAAGTAGATTAATGTGCCAAGAAAGCATTACAATATGTTAATCAGGTATTTGATCTGGTCTGTCAAACACTCCAAGAAAAGAAGTCAGTTACTTCCTGGAAACCATATAATGATCCAAATAAACCAAGCTTTTTAAAGGCACTAGATTTCTCTGAGGGGGATGATTTACTTATCGCTAGGATGATTTGCCTTTGGACTCTTAGTATCTGTAACAGCCTTATTTAAAGGTTGAAAGCCAACAGCAGAAATCCTGAGTGAAGGGTGCAGATAGATATGGATGGCAATATAAAACATGCCACCTTCAACTTTTGGAAGCTTTACTACTGAGTGACAGCTGCTGTGTGATTGCTGTTCAGCCAGAAGTAGACAGGAAAATATTCTGAATCCAAATGCACGACCTGCATGACTGCAATAATTTCATGTTTTTGACTGCTTAAATTCCCAGTTGGTGGACATCAACACAGTGCTCTCAGTTTTCTGGCATTAAGATACAAGTTTGAGCTATGTCAACCTTAAAGTGATCCACAGGAAACTGAAGAGCAAAAAAAAAAATCTGTATGAAATCATTGTGTCTACTTCACACACTGCACAACCCTTTCCTATGGGGCCCTGCTTTGATCCCTGTTTGTGCTGGCCAGCTCTAGGCTCCCCAGAGCAGAAAGAGCTGCACACAGATGTTACACTGCTAAACAGCTCATCATGGAGGAAACCAGATCACTTCTCCTGTAGGAAGAGCATCAACAAAGTGATTTTGTCACAAAAAATCTAATCTGGCTGTTTTCTGAGTCAGAATATGGGACACATTTCTAGCAGAAACCACTGTGAGCTGCAGTCCCTCCCGAAACTTTCCAAGAAACCCAAATTTCACTCACTATTAAATAGACAAAAGAACTTCTCAAAAGGATTTCTGGGCTAGTAGCCTATTACATTCTGAGGACTCATCCATACAGAGCTCAGTGATCACTGTGTATCTTCTATAGACATGTCCCTTAGGGAGTCATGTGTCTGGTAGCTGGGCTAGTAGCCTATTACATTCTACTGAGGGCTCATCCATACAGAGCTCAGTGATCACTGTGTATCTTCTATAGACATGTCCCTTAGGGAGTCATGTGTCTGGTACAAAATGGAGTATCTCTGCTCTTACTGGAAAGACTTCCTCTTACAGGAGAATTTATAGCTTTTGTGACATAGACAGGAAACAAAAAATATATTTTATCAAACTGAAGGCACAAATAAACTACTTGGCAGACGGGAGTAAAGAGGTAGTTTCCCAAGTAGCCCTAAGACTTTTGCTCTTTGGTTTAAATTCTGTGTTCCCACACACTAACAAATCTAAAGCATATAAGATTACAGTAGGGAGTAGGAAATCCAGGACAGCTCTTTGAGATTTGCCAGTTTCAGGACTCTACATGCTTACAATTTAACCTAATTAAAGCCATGAAATTATAATTAAATATGGAAACGTACTGGCTAGAAAGTGAATGTGTCACAACCTCAAATCACTTCATTCATTATAATTCTGAAATCCTGTCCCATTATGGAACGTGTGCAGCACTGTATCCCACGCTGACAAAGGGGCACCCTACAGATTCAAATGTGGTGTCATCTCTGAACCACATTTTAAAAGGTGGCATTGAAAGCTGCTAGCAACAGTTGGATTTGTTTCCCAGAGCCCGAGTCTTCCTGCCCAGCTGATGCCTGCCTGGCCAGCAGGAGCACACTGCTCACTTGTCCTCACCCTAACAGCTCCTTAACTCCTGGCTACCTTCTGTGTGTGACTCATGGGGGGGATTGAGCACACTGGTCCTCACCCTAACAGCTCCTTAACTCCTGGCTACCTTCTGTGTGTGCAGACCAGTCAAGAACTGAAGTATCCTTTTAAATTGTGCATAGTCTACTGGCAGAGTCTCAACAAACTGATTTAAAAGCAGATCCATAGCAATCAACTGAAGTTGTTCCTGGAAAATTCCACAGGAATACAAACAAACAAAAAACCCCCAAACAAACAAAAACAAACAAACAAAAAAACCAAACAAAAAACCCAAACAAAACCAAATTAATTAACAAGCATAGCAAATAAAGCAATATACAGATATAGGGGGAATATTGTAACACTGCAGGTGGCTTTAATTTGATTTACAAGAACACTTGGCATCAGTTCAACCATGGGTTCTCTTACATACCTTGGATCATACTGAGCCAGCTTCTGCAAAAAATTACTACAAAATCCTTTCAAAATCAAAAAGTTCTACAACACACACAATGTACATTTGACTGTGTACCTTAGTAAGCCTACAATAAAAATGGCTTCTTACTAGGAAATTTAAATAAACTGGGATATAGAATATAGTGTTTGAATCTTTTTTTCTTTCTGCTCTGTTCTTAACCAGCTAAAATCTTCTATTGGAAGAGCTCATTCACTGAAAGCATGGTCAAACTTTTATACAGAATCTCTGGGTTTTACTGCTTTCCTGGCCAAGGACTTTCTGCACAGCAGAAGAGAAACATTCCTGCTTGCTAAGGGCCCTGTGAAAGAACAGTATCTGACTAAAAACATAATCACAAAAGCAAGCATGGTATGGACCAAGAACTTTGGGTTTCATACTTTTGCTGTCCATACTTACAGCAATAAAATCTTTAATCTTACTGTATTTGAAAACTGCAACAGCATATTCAGCTTTTTTATTTTGAAAATTACAAAGTAAAATCACATTGGAAAAAAGGCTGAGAGGTGATATGTGGCAACACTATCCTTACCAAAGGCTTCTAAAATTGTTAGAGATGACAACACCCTAAAAAGCAAGCATAATTAGTCTATTTCTTACTATAAAACTGTGTCACTTTGCTACGTGATGCAGATGGTAAAAATAAATTGCTTTAAAGAAAAATAGTAGAATACCAAAATGCAGTCAAATCAGTACAGCTGTATCCAAGAGTTTTGTGGCACAGCATACAGATTTCTATACTGCAAAATGAACAAAGCAGGAACTAATTTAGCTATACATTACACAGTTACTAAAAATACAAGCAGCAATCTCAAGTAAATGCTCGATCCCTCAGTAGTTAGACAAAATGTTATTCTTTTCCTTATCAGAATGAAACGATCCACAATAACTTGTCCTAAATTAATTTCTAAAATGCAAAAGACATGATAAGCTAACACCAGTTCAAAAAGGAGCTGAGTAAAACCAAATTATTCTTGTGACTATCAGCCCTATTTCTATCATGCAAAAAAAAAAACCCACACAAACAAAAACGGAGAACCATAAAAAGAAACAAAACAAACTAAAAAGGAAAAAATAAAAATCTAATTAAAGGTGTACAGTTTTTCAGTATGAGCTCTGGAAAACCACTAATGAACTGGATTGAACAATTTATTTCTAAACTCTTTCCTTCATACATGATGACTTTCAAAAGGTTTTGATATTTTATAAGTAGCACAATCAGAACTAAATTAACCCAAATATTTGTGTGTGTGTAATGCAAATCCCCCAAATTTAAAATAAATATTTGCTACTAGCATGTCATATAGAATAAATGACAATTTTATTTTTAAAAAGTGAACAGAGGCATATTGTATTTGTTAAGATGGATAAGCATTTGCAAAAAAGAAAGGTCTGTATTCAACACATTACTAATAACTAACAATGAAATAGAATGGGTATTGTCTACGCATAAACAAACTTAAGGTTTTGGTCAAAAAATAAATATTATTTAAGTACACATTGTAAATCACCTATATTTAACTGTACTATTTTTAAAAACATAACATAGCATATATCTACAAAACTAATTAGAATTTAGAACTGAAATTAAATCAGGAATTGTTTCTTGTATTAATCCTGCATCAGCTGAATGTTTACATGTGTTTTACTCGAGGCACAAGTCAGTCTTATTGAACAGCAGCCCTTGAACTGAGAAAAATACTTAAATATCTCACTGGAGCTGCGTGAGATATTTAAGGGTATATCAGCACCTTCAGAGCTTAAACTATACCTGTATCTAAAAAATTTTCCTGCTCATATTTATAAAATACTATTATAGTGAATTCCTGAGCATAATGATGAGATGTAGAGGAAAATGGCTGGATGGGACAGCCTTGTGGTGGTAACTCTCCCATGCAGTGTAGGGCTATACTGGGGCTAAACTGCATAGGAAAAAAGGGAAGGAAACTAATGATCTCAATTTTTGCCTGTTTTAAAGGTTAGATGTCATTGAATTGAAAGGTAATCTGTGACCACCTGCATTTACCATGGACTAAAGGCACTCAGGTAAGATTTTACAGCCAGGACATTGACAGACCCATTTTGTGTGCACACCCCAGACATACCCACCTGCTGCTGCTGTCATGCACTGGCCTTTGCATGCTGTGCCATGGACAACACAATGGTTTCTGACAGGAACATCAGCTCCATTCCCCATGTGTGCCCAGCCAACAGGACACACAGCCATGGCTGACCTGTTTCTCCTGCCCACAACAGATGTTTTCCTAGGGAAGAATTGACATTATAAAATGTTATCTGTCAAAATAATGTAAGGCCTCAATGGCTTTGCCTCCGACAAGACCAGGAGCCCAATCTTGACAAGTTTCTCTACTATAAAATAGATTAAAGAATTCAGCCAAACATTGTTACATATGCATCTTTCAAAAACTGCACATAATTCTGTATGCTCTGGTTCTTGATCACTGACTTCTGTAGGCTGTTCTCCAGCTCTTTCAAATGTACTTCATGGTGCTTTTCATTCTAATGAAAAAAGAAAAATACATAGAAACTTAGAAACAAAAAATAAATCAATGAAAATAATAATCTGAGACACAAAGTACCTACTTTTTATAGCTTTATTTACCTGCAAAAGTTTTCAGAGGCTCCACAAAAGCAAAGGTGTTAAAAAAAGCTTCAAAGGATTGAAGCTTTTATTTATGTTCAGTCAGGACCAAACTGAACATGTTAGGATAGACTTAGAATAAAAAAAAAGCCTATAATAATTCATAAACATTATAAATTCAGATTACTGTTTAACTCAGGAAAGAAAAAGAAGCTATCACTACATCATTATGGGATTGTTATGCATCTAATCAAATGTAGATATGCTTACTGAACACAACTGATCTGAGGGAAATTACAACTTCATACTTTTTTTTTTGTCTTGCAGGGAAAACTTGACTGAGTAAGAGTTGTAAACTGAATGCTCTTCAAGTGATTCAGTTAGACTGGACATCTGTTAGGTTGTTGGGAAATGTCCATGTACAAAGTATATTGTCAAGTTGAATTAATTCACTGCTCTGAAAAGTGTGTCTCAAGTGTATTTTCAGTAAAAGGAACTTGTTTTTGTAAATGGTGACATGGTAAGTGATTTCTTAAATCACAAACAGCATTATTTACTCACATGGTGAAATAAGCAGAGGAGCTGTTTTTTTTCTTCTTGCCTCTTTCTCACTTCAGCTTCAAGAAGCAGCAGTTTTGTCTGAAAGGCTTGTTCTTTGTATGACATTTTTTCCCATTCTTCAGCTACCTATAAAAGTAATGAGAGCGAAAAGATATATATGTTATATATATACACATACAATATATTTTTAAATATATATGTATTACCTATATATTTACTCTTAAAGCCCAAATCAAATTCTTTTCTTATCTCTTAACATTAATAGCTCTATTTCCTATTATTTAATCTACTACTGAATTTATTTCCCATGCCCAGGGCTTAAACAAACCTGAGAAATATTCTGGCTAAATTTGAAAGGTGTTTCAATTTGGAAAAAAAAAAAGTAATACAGTGGGAGAGGAACACTTTTTAGCTCAGTTTTCTCAAAACCAAAAAAATATCCTCAGCAGTGAAAAAAATCAGATGGTTATTTCTACATTTTTAATCTGAAATTACAACTTCATACATTTTTTCTGATTAAATATAATTCACTACAATCTAAATTCGTACATTTCCTCTTGAATTTGATTAACTGTTTACATAATTTCTACAAATGATAAAATTCTACTTAATATAGAAAGAATGCAAATTCTTCATCTAAAAAGAGAAGTATTTCAACACAAACATTCTTGTGGGCTTTTATAACAAAGAAAAGAAAAGGTAAAATTAAGCTTTTGCACAGAAACTTTTTGTGTGGGATTTAATATAAGGTGGTTAAAGAATTTTGATTTGTCAATTAAAATAATGATAATAAAACATTGGTAAATTGAAACTTGGTATTTATTTCCATAGTATCCAAACCTGACAAAGAAATTGAATTGTTCCATCCTTATTTAAAATATGCAGAGATTCACAGTAACTGTTTAGTATTTCTCCCTAACTGCAAAATAGTCTCGTCCCATAATTTTTTCTCAAGCTATTTTTAATGCTCTTTTTAAATAGAAAGTAGCAAACAAGATTGAGAGATGTATTAAATCACCAATACCATTTTTCTCCCTTCTTCCAAAGCAGATTCAAGTTGTTTGGTCAATGCATTATATTCTGCAATTTTCTCTTCAAGCTGCAATTTGCTGCTCTGAAGACTCTCATCTTCTTTCCTGAGCTGGTAAGCAAGTTCTTCATTCTGATATTCCACCTGTTCTAATTGCCTTTATGCAAAACAGATCAGTGCATTATAATTCTCTATAGCAGAAAATCTAGGAATTAATTTTAATCAGATTCTTCAAGTTACCTTTGAAGATCTTCATATTTCTTTTGAATGTTACAGATCTCTCCTTCTAAGCAAAGACTGCCCATAGAAGTTACACTATGGTTATCCTGTGAAAATGACAATTTGTTTCTAGTTGAAGAGACCTGTATACAGGATCTTACTGGAGAAAAGTCTCTCCATTAAAATCCAAAAAGAAATGTCATTTCAGATAAATGCTATGTTCATTTGGACAAACGCTATACTATAATCAAGTAAACATTATCTTGTACTATTGTACCTTGTATAATTATGTTAAATTAGTAAAATACAGCTAAAGTTGGAGACTAAAGTTTTGTCTTTCAGACTTTTCAAACTTAAGGCTGAAAACCTGCTATGCAACAAAGTCTTCTCCTGCCCAGCATCCACAGTGCTAAACTTTTACATGTTTTCTTTCAAATCTCAGTAGCAACGAGATTATTGCTCCTTCTTCCACCCATCAACAGCATGTTGGCAATAAACAGGCACATCAGCAGCCTGTGGGTGCCAGCATTTAAGGGGTGACCACCACCATTCTTTGGACTACCTCAAGCAGTCCCATCCAGCAATTTGAGCCCATCTGATTGTGTTTATCAGAATTACAGACTGTTCAGGTAGCAGCAGACTGGTGGTAGCAGAAATTAGTCCAGCTGAACTCAGGAGAGGTTTTCTGCAGAGAGAGCAATTGCTCCAAAAGGAATTTTCCAAAATTCTGGTCATAGAGTCAAGGGTAAAGTACATCAATCACAAAGACTTAATCCTGAAATTTAACTACTGTTCCACCAGACTAGTGCTTATATTCCCAATTATTTTGCTATACTTAAGAGGTTTTTCTGCACTTTTCCAAGTAAACACGTAGTTAGATTAAAACAACATACATCATTTTATATGATGTATAAATTTTGCACCTCCAAATTAATTATTGCTTAAGTACTTTAAAATTTAGGAATTGATAAACATTCCTGGAAGAATCAAAAATCAAGAGCAATGTTTTATATAAAGTCTATAGGACCACAGAGATTCACAGTACTTCACCTGCAGTTTTCCTACTGACATAGCAGGGTGATTAGGCCCCTTTCCCACCCCACTAACTTAAAAACCTTTGGCATTTGTGCTCTTCTGACTTAAAAGGACATTAAAATAAAGACAAAAAACAATAACAAAAAAACCCCAAACCTACCCTGCCATAGAAATTGATGTCAGAGAAAAAAAGAGTCCAGGAAAATTCATTTTGAGGCTTTAGAGAAAAGACAAGCATTAGTGTTAAATACAGCTAAAAATGCAATTATCCTATTAAAGCATATTTTAAAAGTACTTACTCAACTAAAACATTTTAAAATATTATACATCATGAAGAATATAATTTATCTGATTAAATATAAATTTGCCATTAAAACCAAAACTAATGTATAATAAAATTCTTGTACTAGATACAAAAACATCTAGACTTGCATTTATTTCCAAGGAAGAATTCTGCAACACATCTCAGGACATATGTATTCAAAAAGATCAAGAATATACTCATTCTAAAATTTACAAGTCTTGCCACATAATGAATTCACATAAATACCGTTGGCAACAGTTTTATTTGCATTATCCAATTTCCACAGAAATTGATTTATGATTTATGAAGATGTCCACCGAAATTTTGATTAATGAAGAAAATAACAAAGGAAACCTCACCACTGTCACACACACCAATAGTAAAGTGCCCCAGTGATTTTTTTTGCACATAATTTTCTCATTTATCTTTAGAAATCAGCATGTTCTAACCACCTGAAGCTCCAGCTCCCTGAGGGTTTTGCATTTCTGCACACGGATCCTTTCCCAAGCCAGAAGCTTTTGCTGGTTCTCCTCAGCTGCTTTCAGCAAGTCACAAACATGTTCTAACTCCTTTAACTCAGCCTCTGTTTTGTGCCTCACCTACATCACAGGAGAAAAATGTAAATGTAAAACCATAAATTAATTGTAATACTTAATGGATTTTCATGTAGGTAATAAAGACAAAATTCTGTAGAAATTACATATCATCTATTTTATAAAATACTGACAAAGAGACAAGTTCTTTTCTGATGCTTAAGAATGTGCTGTCTTCCAGTGTTCAGCTCCATCTGCTGAAAAATTTATAACTCATCTCTGTATGGAGTCTCAATCTTAACTGTTAGTTAAAAAAAAAAGAACTTACAATAGGTTTGCTTCCATATACAACTTTCACAACCGTTCTGTCAAAAAGATATTTTGAAAATCACCAACAATAAAATCACACTTTTGAAAGTGATAAAGGAATTCTGGAATTCTAAAATAGTACCCAAACTACTTAGTAATTGCACTAGGAATCATTGCTCAATTGTTTGCAATTGTGTAGTATCCAAAAAGCACCAGCTTTAGATAGCAGTGAGTAAAACTCTCAGAAATTTAAAACCAAGAGATGGTACCTTGTGACTTCTAACAATATGACAGAAATATAGAAAAGATCTGTGTCCTACAGAATTGTTTGGAAACATTCTTTATTACTGCAAAACTTACCTTATCTGCTTCTAAGCATTTGTTTTCTGTTATTTTTCTGTTTTCATTTAAGACTGTTTTATATCTGGATTTCAATTCTTTCACAGCAATTTGTCTTTTTTGTACCTAGGACAACATACATTTTTCACATACATTTGCAAGGTCCTTCATTTAAATATAGAAAAAATAGCATCATTAGTATGAAGCATAAAGGAAAACCTCTGCCTTCTAAATAGTATCTCAAAATTTGTCATTATTTTCATTATCCTACTCGTCACAGCAAGTACAAAAGGGTTACCAGGTAAAGAGCACTGTCATATCAGCAGTGTGTTATCAACAATGGAGAATGAGCTACAGTTGTGCTGTAGAAGCAGCCAGTGTGACTCACACCTCTCTCCCCACATAACTGTCACTGACACTTCCCATCTGGAGTCACTACAGCCCTGAGCTAGGGAATTTCACTCCACTCACTGCTTAAGGCTGGCTGTTAACTGGAACTACATCTACCATCTTAAAGCTGGCAGCAACTTTAGTTGTGATGATGCATTCCAAAGACAAGGCTCTCTGGCTCTACTCTAGGTTTTGTATCATGTCTTTCTTTTCTCTTGTCAGTGATTAAAACAAATCAGTAAGTGAAAAATGTCAGTGAAATTGTGTCTATACTATAGCATAAATAGATACATATTTGAATCAATGTTCTAAAACTTCTGTGTGAATAAAGCCAAATACAAAAAATTGATTTATAAAAAGCCCATTATAAGTTTGGTTTATATGTTTCACTGGTATTTCTATGTTGATTTATCCACTGAAATAAAAGAACTCATATAAACCTATACTCATAACCCTAATATATATTTCTTCAATGAAGTTGGATTTCTTGAACTTACTTGAATATTGATACACTCCTAGGAATATGAAGATAAAATATGGCCAAGTAGAGGTAAAATATCATCAGTATATCCACTGAAGACACCAGACTCAAACTTTTTAAATATCTAGTTTACTGGGTCACTAACCTGCTTTTTAGCAAGCCAATCTTGTCAAAGCAATCTTGTCTTGTTGGCTTCAAGTGGGCTTCACACAATTCAGTACAGACAATGTGTACTTGTAACTGTGTGGAGACTATTCTTCCCCATGGTCTGTAATAGCCATTTCTTCTTTCATACTCAATATTACAAAAATATTACAATCCCCATGACAACAAAATGGATTTATTACAAACAAAACCTTTACCGTTTCCTTAAAATGGCTTACAAATTTTAAAAAAACATACTTGAAGATTTCAAACATGGTAAGTCACCTCATTTTTATGCTGTTCTACAAGGTTTTCCTGCAGCTTTGCTTTTTCTTGCAGATGAAGCAACTCATATTCAACAGCCACTGTACTTTTCTCCAATGCAGCAAGGGAAGCCTTGATCAAAAATAGAAAATATAAAAAGTTAAGGGTGTTACTAAAATAATGCATTCTACAATATGATATTACCAGCAAGTGACCTGCTGGCACTAGGAAGAGTGATGTAAGTATTTTTCCTGTCAAACAAAAAGGACAGCCTATAGCTCATTTGTCAGATCATGAGAACACTTATATCAGATGATAAAAACCTGCAAACTATTTCAAAATTGAAATTAATAACCGAGGTAACCAGTTCTTTAATTTGAAAGAAAGTTTAACAAACATAAAATAACAATTTCTACTTAAGCAATTGTGGAGTTATTGACAGTAAAATAAACAGCATCCTGATTAAGTAGATATATCATCAGACAACCCTGTTCCTAGCTTTGCCATAAATTTCCACTGGAAAATTCAGTATCTCATTTGTCCTTACTATTACAAATGGATGGCAAACCTTATTCTGCAGGTTTGGAGTCTCTAGACAGAAGGTCCAAGGAGAATTAACGTGGTTACTTCATTAATGTATGAGAAATGTAGAGCCATTCAACAGAGTGATTTATAATCTCACCTTTAATTTTTTGTTTTCAAGGCAAATATTTTCATTTTCAGAGTTAACGGCATTTAGCTTTTCAAGAATTTCCTCTTCTGAGCTTCTTCTCCATTCCTCCCTTCTTTCCACATTTTCCATCAGGCCTCTGATCTGACTGGTAAGACAGGCAAGTTCTTTATAATACACAATGCTTCCAAAACTCTCAGTATGAAAATTAAATTGAACCTTAACACATTCTACTTCATTGTGTATATATATATAAAAAAAGGAGGAATGCATTTATGCATCCAAATCTACGTATATTCTGAAATAAACTCTCTGAAAGAGAAGAGTTTCTACTCTTCCTCTCCCAAGGAATGTGTCTTAGCTCAATTAGAGAACACCAAATGATACTTCCAAGAAAACTCTGTACATGCACACTGTACAAAATGTAATTATATTGAATTTATAGGGTATATCACATAATGTCCTACTAAGAACAGTCCTTAGCTACTTTAGGAATGTTGCTTTCCATTATTAAAAGCAAAATTATGCTATGCCCCATTTTTTGGGGTTTTTTTTTGGTTAATGAAGTTCACAACATTTGTTTTGCTGTTGACAAACAAGTCTTGTTAGAATGGCACATTTCAAACAAAGACTTGTATTTTCAGCTGAAATGAAAATAGCAAAACCCAGATGGAAGCAGAATGAGTATTTGTTGTTTCTTAGATGCCTTCCTATATACACTGGACCAACAACGGGCTAGACAGATTTCTGGACTGATGTCATCCACCTGCTCTCTGGTTAAATCTTAAAATCTACTGCAAGTATTTTCAGAAATGCCAGATTTTCTGGGGCAAAACCAAAATATTTAAGTAATTTTAATGTGAGCTGTTAAATACTTGAGCATGAAGCAAGTTCTTTGTGAAATAAACATTTCCTCAGACCTGGAATAAAGACATATAACAGTTTCTTTTGCTGGCTTAAATCATAGTCCATATTTCTAACAACAGAAATGTTAAAAGGATATTTGTCACTGCCTGCCCAAAAAATAACATATCCTTCATGTACATTAAGATTTGGCTGTGTAGTTTGGATAATTTTATTCTGCTTTTCCTTACATGAGTGAACTGTTTGAATGGCATCTAAGAGGAACCCTTCTCTATCCTTTACTGAGGTTAGTGGACATTAGTGGAACTGTAATAATTAGTGGAACTGTAATAATTTGACCATCACTAGTCAGAAGTAGGACCTAGAAGACAAAGAACCTTCTTCTATTCTGTAAACACAAGGGTTAACACTCAAGCTGTTGAATCAGTTATTAATCAGTGGTTATGTGGAGGCTGCACAGGAGCTGCCAGCAAGTTCAGGCTGATCAGAAGTATGCAGGAAAAAGAATATGTTCCTTAATTGTAAAGAGAAATAAAGCTTCAAAAGAAGTGAAATTCAACAGAGAGGAGGCTAAAGATCTTAAATTTATTCTTATTTCCAACTTCCAAATTTTGCTCAGAATTTTAAAATATTAATAAACTCATTTACATTGTCAACACCAAGTATTGCACTACTAAATATCAATATCCTGTGACCACAGAAATAAATAAACAAAAAAGACCAACAATCCAACTTACTTCTCAAGATCTTCTATTTGAACTTCTAACATTGTCTTTTCTTCAACTATTCTATCGTGCTGGTTTTTCCAGACATCAGAGGCTGACAGTATCTCACCCAGTTTGACTTCCTAGAGAATGCAGAAATTATAAATTATGTAATGAAAGAATGCCACTGAAGAATGCCATTTAATTCTACAAATTTGTAGATAATAGAGGTATTTAATATAAGATGGTTTTATTGGATCTCCCTTGTACAAATCAATATCAATTTTCTCTCCTCTCAAAAGAAAATCAACAAAATTACCCATATTTTTTAAAAATCAAAGTCTAACTATAGACTTACTTTCAAGGCAGAGACATAGTTAAACCATGGTACTGTATACCAACTGTAGAATACAATACTTCAAAATTTAAGATGACAATCTTTTCTTACCAAAAAAATTGTCTTCAACACATCTCTACTACATATAAATTACATCAATTAATAAATGAATAAAATTGTGCCGAAATATTTTAAGAATAAAAAATGCTAGCTAGATAAGAAATGAAACATTAGGTAAAATCCCTTAAATTAATATAGATAATTAACCAATACAGGCTATCTTGAAAATACACCAGGATTTCAATGAGGAATGAAACAAGTGTGACTACAAAACATCAGAAGTTCAAGAGGTATTTGCTGTCCCTCTGCACTGCTAATTTTAGTTAAAGATTCACTACTGCCTTCTCACAAAGATCCAAGAACACAAAAACCATTATTAATCATCTCCTGGTACACTAAGTGGAAAAATATACCTTTAATACTGACATATCCAAAATAATTATAACACATCTAGGAGTATGAAAACATATTCTTCTTAGGAAATCCAAACAGGACAATAAGCACAGTTCTGATGCAGCTGGCCTTTTTGAACAATTACAAACTATTGATAAGCAAAGCAGGGAACAACTTGGATTTGGATTTTGAAAAGGTTCAGAGTAAGCAGCTTGGAAACTAGAAGCTAAGTAACCACATGAGACATCACACATTAATAAATAAAGAAAAGTAACACTTCAAACCTCAGTCATGGACTCTCAGTTAGTACACTGTATTTCTGAGTGAGTCAGTGCTTATCCATAGAGGACTAATAAGAAGAGCAGGAGAGGTTTAACCAAAAGCTGATGTCACTACTCTTACTTCCTTCAGCTTAAAATGTTCAACCTCTTGACTTAAGACAACCACTAAATTTTAACAAAACAAAAGCAGTTAATAGTAATAGCTTTCAGGACATCTATAGCAACCTTCTCCTTAACAAATGAGCAACAAAACAAAAGACATACTAGCACAGCATAATCAAACAAATTTTTCTATTTTCCACGGGTGAAAGTATTTCAGTTGTTCAATTTCAAACAATACAACACAGCATTGCTCACAGCATAGTCACTCACATGTTCTTTTATTTTAGAGGTTACATCTTTCACAGCTTCTTCTAAGCTCTGAGCTCTTCGTTTCTGGGACCTTATTGCTTTTTCCAGAGCTATCTTCTTTTGCTCACTTGTCTCCTTTAAGGCTAACTTCTGGCACTTGTATTCACCAATTTGATGTTTCCACTCTGCTATTTTATTTTGTAGAGTCTGCAGCATAATTAAAATCAACTCTTCAAATTCCAAGTCTTACAGATAATTTTGTGCTATAAAATAATTAGGAACAGCTGTTACATTTATAACATCTGTTTCCATATAATCTTGGTATCTCAAACCTTGTGGTTGATACAAGGAGCTAGCTAAGTACAACAGTCGACAAGAAAAGCACAGAAAGTAATTACAAAGATGAAGAGGCTGAGAAGGTGCAGGAGAAGGCAAGAGTAGGGGGAAGACAGCAATCTAACCATGTCTATGTGCTCTTGCAAATGAATGCAGAATTTCCATGTACAAATGTAGGACGTTAAACCTATCTATGAGAAGGAAAATAAAATAGTGTCATCAGACTATTTCTGTAAAGAATATCACGTTAATGATATGCACTGATGTATTAGAGTATGTCTTAATGATGCTACCAATGATATGCACTGATGTATTAGAGTATGTGCTCTGAATCTAGTGACACACACATTACTAGGTCTGGAGATAGGCTGTATAACTGTATATGAAATTTTATTATGAAAGTTAATATCTTGGATTTGTGTTTTTTTAAAGTCAGGAAGCTAGGAAAGGTTGGGATATTTTCCTAAGTATATGTACTATGATATGGTTTGTGACTAGATGACAATATACTATTTTCTTGTAAGATCTCTGATTTTTTCTTTGCATAAAATGGCCCCACTTCATTAATGACACAGATTTGTTTAGTGAAGAAAGTATTTTTTTTAAACAATGAAGCAGAAATGCATTTTAATGCATTTAATAATACTATGAAACATGTACAAAGCAGCCAAGATGGGAACTGGGCTCTATGATGGCCATTATATTATCTTTCCTATTGCTGTTTTTATTTCTGACTAGCTAGATGTTTACATCACTCTGATGAAGACTGATCCTATTCCATGCAGGAAGCTGATCTCTCTAACTTCATGACTTTCATATTTTTCATCTATATACCATATAAATATGAATGGAAAACAACTACAGACTTTAAAACACTACATGATGATATTCATTAACAGCAATACCAGACTGTTTCAAGAAGAATCTCAGATCCACTTATCAAAAATGCTACTAATAGAAAATTAGTTTCATAAAGACAAGTTTAAATCCTGTTCATATCTCTTACTATTCTTCCATCAAACTCCAATAATGTAAGCAAGCCAGCAGTGTCAACTTTCTCTTCAGTGATAAATATCTGAATTGTGGGAATGATTAATGCATTTGTTTCCTTCCTTTTTGCCTCGGTCTGACACTACATTACTACTACTAGTTAACTACTGAATTTGTGACTGTGCCAGTCTTATTCAAGACACTCACTGACAGTTGCTATAAAATATGCATATTATGCATGAGGGGATATCTCTAAGTACAGGTCCTGATAATGGCCCCAAAACTTTTACACAATCAAAGCAAAATGTATGTGGTTTTCCAAATGAAAGAAAGATGGTCTCAGGTACTGGGATTCAACAAAAAGCAGATGCACTACTTCAAAAAAAGAAAAAGGAAATTACAAAAATATATAAAAATATATAAAAAGTGGTTTTTCTGTATAAATGCTTACAGGGCACCTAATATACAAAGATGTGACTTAAGGTGGTGGATAAACACTTTCAATAAACACAGCAAACAAAATTTCAGTGTATGTATGGATCTCAACTGTCAGTATAAGTCAACAGCTGCTATCCCCTATTATAACCACAGGAGGTCAGAATCACACTAAGAATAATTGCTTTGGGCATTAGTGGGTGAGGTAAATTCGAATTGAGAACTAATTTCATAGTTCTAAGCTTTTGCAAGCTTTTGTCTAGTTATTAACAAAATCATCTCCATAATTTAAGATAGCAAACGACTTCAGCAATTTCTGAAAGTGAACAAACCTTTTAATTAGAGATTGAATGACAATACAGCTGCATTTCAAGTTATTTTATCTAATGAAGATGTTGTTGGAATTCTATAATTGTACTGGTAGAACAAGAAAGCAATTTTTATTTAGAAGAAAACATGAGGCATTTATGTAGACATAGACGTGATTTGAAATTGCCTTGATACAGGTTGGGTAAACATCTCAAATTATTCAATTAGCAGGGGATGTATGCTAGTAAAAAAGTTTGAAAATTAGAAATACATTGTTTTTAGCCAATGTTTTCTCATTCATGTCTATGTTCTTGACAAGTTTCATATACTGTATTCTGAGGCCACATACAGCTCCAGCCTTTCACACATGACCTCCTCCTTGCCTCTTTCTAAAGCCAGTGACTGATTCAAACACCCAAATTTAACTTGTTCTTTTTAGAACAGAAAATGGAAATAATTTAACCTACCTTAAACAAACTGAGATTAGGCATTAGTCTTATGTGTTTCACTTTCAGTCAGTATTAAGAGACTTATCAATTTTTCACAGACAACAAGAAACAGGGTGTGGCTGTCACTTCTTTTAGAACAGGAAGTCACCATAGGGACTTGCTTATCTCTTGGCCATATGGAGACTTTTTTCTAGACAGTACAGTTAAGTGAGTGCAAACACTTCTATGCATGTTTCACTTTGCTTCACCAGCACTGTACAAGTGTGCATAAGTTGAGAAAACTAAAAAAAACCCAAACCAACAAGCAACCTTGCAATTCAAATAGTGGTCAGGCAGATCTTGCAAAACATAAATGCTTATGATTTTAACTGTTTGGGATTTTTCTTTTGCCAATAATTTGATTTCAAAACAGGCCACAGCAAGGCTTTGATTTGTTTTTTGTTTTTTTCTTTCCTCCAAGAAACTGAAACACAAGTAAAAATATTTTGACCTGTATTTTCACTTTTAATTCATAATTTTCTGCTTCTTTTCTTTCAATCTGACGCTGCAGGTGAGCTTGTACTTCCTTTACTGATCCTGACAAGCGGTTCCTTTTCTGTATCTTGATCTAGGAAAGATAAACAAATTTATTAGACTATGCTGTATGATGCTCTCTGTATTTTTTTCTACTACGCTGTAGTTTCTAACTGACATTTGAATGTCCTCAAAGCCTGGAAAAGATAAAACATGCTCTACGAGTACATTCACAAGCAGTAACTTGCTACTAACTGTATTAATGTTAAACAGAAACCACCAACTTGAAACCATTTATGTATAAATTTATGTATAATATTTAATCTGAGTTTAAGTAGCAGGAATAAGGCCTGGAAGCATGAACTCAGGCTAAGGAAAGGCATCCTGCTAGCAGGATGACTAACACTAAGCCACACTGATCAGCTGTGCTTTGACTAATTAGACCTGAACTGACCTTCATTAAATTCCAAAGACCACCATCTCCTATTAGAACTATTGATGCATTTAATTCAAACTCTAACTTTGGGGGATATGCAAAACATAAGGGAAGAGGAAATTTATGTCACCAGCACTCAGGTCAGATGATTCTATGAAATATTTTTCAACTTGATTCCTTTGGCTCCTTCTAAGTCAGAAGTAATAAGGTAGGTAAGTACTGTATTATCAGTATAGACTGTAAGAGACTACAAGAATGTACCAGTGGAAGTGTTCATTATAGACACCAGTAAGAAAGGCAGATTCACTCAAGTGCTGATGGAAATGCCATGTATTAAAATTAATGTAAGAAGGAACAAGGGGATAGCATAGAAAATTATTTATCCTTTCAGATGCTAGGCACCCTAAATTGTTCAACATTAGGTAGTCTCCAGTCAGGGTATGGTATGCCACATAGATCCCCATCATCACTGAGGTCTTCTGGCATTGGGGTCTTCAGAATTTTATAGGCTCTTCTGTTCAGCATTTCTGTTCTCAAGCAAAAAAGGTGTTTCTATGAAAATATGCTCCTTCAATTCAAAAAAAAGACAAGGACATGATAAGAACCCCCACAGGCTCCTCTATTATGACCAGCTGGTTAAGTTTATTGAGCAGCCAAGGGATATGTTCATTTGGTTAAGCAAAAAAAAAAAAAAAAAAAAAAAAAAAACCAAAAAAAACCCCCCAAAACCAAAAACACCACCTCTTAAAGAAAACCACGGCTCTTAAAAACCTGCAAGGAGTTACAAATATCAAAGTACACTGCTGTCCCCTGAAAGGTTTAACTGAGCCCATGCTGTCCCTCACTAATGCTGAACCATGCTGCATGGCACACACACAAAGTGCCCTGGAGGTATTCAATCTGTAACACATTGCCAAACTACCAGTAAAATAACTTTCAAACTTTTACAGTCCCCTCTTATACAGGACAATTCTTCCCTTTCAGTGCTGGTTTTTGCACTGAGCCCCTTCTTTTTGGTGTAAAGAATGAATGAGCTCTTGCCAGACTTGTCAGCCTCAAATGATATTAGCTCTGTTGCCTGTACCACCTTTCCTAAAAGAGCCATGGAAACCAACTGTGAACAGTATCTGTTTAGCTTACTCCCTATTATTCCTTATAAGTACTTTTTCCCCAGAATATTGCAAATCAGTAAATGAGAAGTCAAAAGCTACCTTAGGATATTAGTGTTAAGAATAACTGTAACCTTAGTTGATTTGAATACAGTTTTGATGGTTTTAAGATAATTCTGTAGGAAATACCTTTCATGATCTTACTTTTTTCACAGGTCTTTGAAATAATTCTTTTACTTAAAATTTATATTTTTTAAAATTGGGAATCTAGTATGTTGGAACAAAATATTCATTCTAATGGAACTGGTCACTCACTTTTTCACACTGGAGCATGGATGAAAGTTCTTTAATCTGTTTCTCCCTTTCAAGTATTTTTTTCCTGAGATTCTTCATGGGAAAAAAACAACAAAGATATCATTTTAATGTCTGTATACAACAAAGCGTCAGAAATGCACAGTGATGAACATTTCAGATGTAAAACTAAGATCCCATTTTGTGATGGTAAATCAAAAATACTCCCACTTTGCCACTCTTACTGGAAATTTTATGACTTTCTAAGGTAGCCAATTTCAGGTATTCAGCATAGAACAGAGAGAATCAAATTTTAATTTACTTACAGTATTCTGAATTTCACTTTCACTTAGCTCCTGCATCCAAGTGTCAATGCTTTTACTGTTTAACTGCAACACAGGAAACATTAAAAATTTCTTCTGATTTGAACCGATTTTGTATTTTTCAATGGTTTTAAATTGTTTACACATATTTTGCTATATTTTTAAAGCTGGTACATATGACTAGAAAAGCTCACACACTCACAAACTACTTGGTGGCTAAAAACGAAAGATTTTAAGCTCTAAGAACTTTCTTAGTGCACAGGACATAACAAAAAAATCTTCCCACAATGTGTCTAATAAAGAAGATTATATGACTACATGTTTCTTTCAGACTAGTGTAAGAAATGCACATTTCCATTGATTCTTTGTTTATGCCTTATATGTTTTCTTACTTGGTGTTCTAGACTGTCAGATTCTTTGCTCAGATCAGTAAAATACTTCCCGTCTTGGATGGCTGTTGTAGTTCTGTGACAATCCTTTTTATCTGGCTGAATCTGTGAACAGAGTTTTCCTGTTTCTTCAGGTGGTACACATGTTTTTCCCTGAAATAGCATTCATAATTATGTAACATTTCATTTCACTCACAGTTAGGTCACTGATATTGCTAATTCAAGGATATCAACATAAAACAAGTCAGCTCCTCCAGAGAATCCTTGAAGAGAAAGTTTAAAGATCAAAGAATCATTTAGGACTTTCAACAAGGATAAAAGCCTGACATACCACAGGATGCACTCTCAGACAGTTTGCTCACAGAACACAGCTAATCCACAAGGCAAAGGCAGACTACCTCCAGTAATGGTGAAGGCCAAGACCTGCTCAGATTCCAATGTTGCTGTTTTTCACAATAGACTTCTTCCAGTTTGGAGCAGCAATGGCTCTCCTCTTTTCCCAATTTGGAAAAGCTTTTCACCAGGCCTGGCTGCTCAAGAAAATGATACTACCCATGCCATGACAAGTCCAGAGCCATATCAGACCTAAATGAATCCCATTCCCCCCACTTCCTTATCAGGTACCAGCAACCTGTCATCACCCTCACCTCTTCTCCAAACACCTCTCTCCTGCCTCTACCCCAGCACTCCAGAATGACTGATTCCTTCACCAAGCACAAAGTTATCTGTTTACTTCACTCAATGTTCCACTGACTACTCATTCTTTTTTTCAGAAGCAGATTGTGTTGCCTTCTCCACCCACCAGGACCCATTTCTCCTGTGCTCAGCCTGCATCAGGCGCATCTCCATCAAAAGGATTTGTCAGAGTAAGAGTTTCAGTCCTTATATCCATATTGCCTTTCATATAATTGAGAAAATGAGTAAGAAATTCGGGAAGTTCCCATCTTAAATAATCACTTCCTCACAGAATCAGAATGCAGACTGCTCTGTTTCCAATTGTTGTCTGACAGCAAATAAGTACAATCAAACATCTAAGGTTTTTTATTTTACATGTGCGTATGTGTGTGTCTTGTTTTATTACAGGATTAGATTCCTGGCAGACCTCAACTTGTGTAATGTAATGCAACTGTTGTAGCTTTTTCCTGGATATAAAACCAAAACCAAGTTCTTGAATTTAATTACTTCCAGTGAAAACAGCACCTTGGAAGATTAAACATCATGCTTGATTTATCATAGCAAATCAATGTAAGCAGAAAAGAACAAAGAAGAATTTTTGCCATAGTTTCTGTTGCCATGTCCAGCACTGTCATTTAGCCAGTTTTTGAAATATCACCTACTTCACGTCCATAACTAGGAAGTATATTTTTAACCTTGTTAACAAAACAAATACAATTTAAAATATCAAGCCCAACAGGAACAGAAAGAACTTGCCTCAACATTGTGAAGAACAAACTTTTCCTGAAGATCAAAGTCCAAGGAAGGAGCCATACAGTCATGTACAGGTAAACATAAGGATGCTTGTGATAATGACGACATTTTGATTTAATGCTGTATAACAAGACAATATATGTTAACATATATTAGAGTTCCACGAATCAGTAACTGAAATATTACTGGCATGCCAGGTTGATCCTGCTACAGTAGGACTGCTGGACTGGACCAAGTAAATCTCAGTCACAGCAGAGATATAACATAGCTAATGCACCTGAAATCTTCCACAAGAATTCCCAATTGGCAATTGCTCAGCACTGAATTCACAAGCAAGGTTTGCAGAAAGCAAATCCTTCCACAGCAGAAAACGGAATGCACTCGAAGGACAAAGTAAAGCTCACAACTGCTATTTCCCACTTCCACGCTCCCCAGCACCGAGGGGAGGTTCAGGGGCACAGGCCTGGGCCCGCTCGGGCTCTCACCTCACCAAAGGCCCCCGCGCCCGCTGCCGGCGGCTCCCGCCCCTGGTGTCCAAAGAACCGGCACCCCAGCACCGCTCCTACGGGGCAGTGTCCCCTCAGCACCCGTCCTGTGGAGCACTGTCCCCTCAGCAGGCCGCAGTGGGGCAGTGCCGCTCAGCACTCCTCCCGCAGCTCCCACCTGCGCCCGCCGCTCCTCGCCGCCGCCAGCCGTTGCCGGAGCAACGCGCCGGTGCCATTGCCGGTGCCATTGCCGGTGCCACTGCCCGTGCCATTGCCGGTGCCAGCGCCGGTGCCATTGCCGGTGCCATTGCCGGTGCCGGTGCCAGCGCCGGTGCCATTGCCGGTGCCATTGCCGGTGCCCTCCGCGGGCCGGCCGTGCCCGTCGCTCCCGCGAGCACCCGCTGCGGGCCGCATGGGCCCTCACCCGGGAGAAGAGGGGCGCGCGGGTGGGCGCGAAGGTGCCTCAGGAAGCGGCCGTGCCCTTACTCGGTTGGGACGTGTCCCGCGCACCCAGGAGATTACTGTCAGCAGGACAGAAACCTGGAGACCTCTGGGGAACTTTAGATCCTCCAGATGATTGCTTTCTGGGTGTTTCCATTAATTTTTAATTTTTTTTTTTCTAAGGTTAAACACAAAGTATTCATATAACCTGACTGTATGTGACGCTGTTTTGGCAATACATTGTCAAACACTGTAGAGAAGACACATATTTTTAGATAACCACATTCAGACGAGGTGGCAACTCATAAAATATCTGAGACACTGCAATAGATGTGTGGAAAGATCACTTGCAAATCATAAATTGTGCAAAACTGAGTGATCATGTGATACAAATATGATCATTTGTACAGGTGCAAAGGCAGACATGTACATAGACACATATACTCATACATAATTATAATTAGTACATTTTGTTAAAAATTCATACTGATAGAAATATTACTTTTTAATATTCTAGGTAATAGCAGTGTCAGCAACTTATACTAAAAATAAGCTTGAGAGAAATAATCAAAACAAAAATCGAACACATCCTTTGGCATCCTTTGTAAATATGCCAGTCTGTATTTTTTTCTATTGCTGGCAAAGGAAGTTCAGAAAGCAGATACTCACTTCATATACTCTTTAGAGAATATTACCTCGCCCTGTGTGCTTGGTTATAAAAATTAAATGCTAAATTTCAACCTTTTAAATTCAAGTAGACATGAAATCACTTCATTATCCATTCTGGAGTGAATGCCCGATTGTACCTGAATTCCAAAGGAGATTTTGTCTTTGCATGTGCAAAAGGCCTAAGGCTTTGTTCTCTGTAGGACCCACAGCCTGGAATTGAGAATTCACAGTCTCTGACAGACCTTTGCTTCAGCACCACTGCTACGAGCTGTGGCTTTGGTACCCCATAGCCACCTCAGACAAAATTCCTAATTTTAGCTGCCCAGAACTTGCGGTAAGATTGGCTTATTTTAAAAAGAAAGCAACAAGTTTTCGGAACTTTCTGGTCATAGTTTATAAAATACCACAAGCACTACCCAGCAGTGAGGGCTAATTAGCATGATAATTAGCATTGCACTCTGTACCTCCTAAACAAAGAATGAATTACAAGTTTCAGTCCTCAAAACCACGTTTTAATGACAGTGGCACAATCGACAGAGTAGAAAATAATTAAAGGAAATGGGACACACAGCTCCACAATGACATAATTACAGGTCTTATTAAAAGAGATGTGCTTGAGAGAAGCTTCTTTAGATACCACAGGAACTGAGTATTTGTCACAGCTTATGACTTCATCTGCTCTAAAGGTATAATTGAACCTTTCATTTGCACATCAAAAATTCATTACTCCAGTGTGTTTCTTTGTTCATTGGTTAATTTTGGCAATAGTCTGCTACTGCAAAAGCTGCAGATTTGCTGTGACACTGTTAATATACTGTTCCTTCCCCATCCTTGTATGCACTGCTCAGTGCAGTACTGACCAGATTTGGTTTCTCCAGCAATTCTTAGGCACTTGCTGCCTCACACAGAAGTGGACATCAGGCAGAGACAGAGTACCATGTGTTCAGATCTAAAATTTCACTTTCCCAAGCAATAATCAAAGCTGTAACTTCAGTTCATATCAAAGCCAGAATAGCTGTCATTTTAGAGTAGAAAGATTCCTTTGGAGAAAAAAGTCAGAGATGAAGCATTATTTGCTAGTACTAGTTCCCTCTAATTGCTTTTATGTCAGTGAATGCCATTTCAGTCTGAAATATCTCCTTTCATTTCCTTCTGATAAATCTTCTTATTCCATAAGGGAGTTCTGCTGCATACAAATTATTTGATAGGAACTACATTACACAATTTGAATAAATAGGTTGCAGCATTGTTCCTGTAACTACTTCCTAGAGTTATGTAAAAAAATGACATTACATAGACAATCCCTGTGATCCAGGACAACTCTTACTTCTCTGGTACACCCAGTCCTATCTGCCTAACAAGCACAGAGCTGCAGTAGTCTGTGGCATGGAGGCACTGACATCTAGTGGGCTTCAGCTACATTTCCAGTTTTTCTAAATGTTCCAAAAAATCTGACCTTTATATTAATGCTTATTTAAAAGTACAATCAAATATGAACAGTTGGAGGTTGAATTTATTAATTAAGTATGACTCTTACTATAGTAGCAAGAGGAAGATTTGTTTTAATTAGAAGCTCATGTTCACAGTGCTGTGTCCATAGTAAAAGCTCTGAAGAAGTCAGTTCAAGTAAAGCAGGATTGAACATTTCCCAAACACCACTGCAAAAGAGAGAAAAAATTTTGCTGTCATGCTTTCAAGTTTTTTTCCCCCAAGTTTTTTTTTTTCTGTCGAGTCATGCTTTCTGACAAGCAGATATAAAATGACAGGGTAAGGCTTCTGATTTCCATTATTATGCTTATATGTATATATGTGTGTGTATATATGTGTATATATATGTATTTCCAAAAGCTACATGGGCTGCAGTCCCAGTTGCCAACACAACTGCCACATGCCAGCTCAAGCTAGCAAGAAAAGATGTGCTAGTTGATGTCAAAACCATAAAAACTGTTCTCAATCTGGTCTTCCAAATTCTCAAGATATTTTCAGCTTCCAGTTTCCTACATGGACTTCATGATGTTCCATGAAGAAGAGAAGTTTAATTATTCCTATGCCACATGTGGAGAAACTGTAGAACCATGTGGTGAAACAACTTTCTCACAGTCACTATTAGGGAAGTGGTAAAGCTGCAAATATACCTCCAGTTAGTAAACTATAATTGCATAGTAAAAGGAAGAAGCCCAAAAATTTTATTTCTATTTCCACAGGGGTCATTTCCTCCAAGTATAAGATAGCCAACTTCTTCTAAGATAGACAGCTGGGGTGTGGGACTAAATTATTATCCTTCATGCTCCAGGAAAGGACAAAGACCATGACAACAACATATGCTATACCTAGTCCAGTTCCCTGAAATATCAGGACTTTTGCCTACTGAATGTTTTGCCAGTTGCTGCATGCAATCCTAGTACAACTCCAGTTCAAGTGTTTAGGGGAAGCACAGCAACAGCTGCCACAAGGACCACTGAAAGGGTGCACTAATGTGAAAAGGAGCATGAATTGTCCCTCACATCGCTGCAGTTTCCGAGCGGAAGTGTGCTGTTGAGAACAGCTGCTTTCTGGCTCTGTCAAATCCAGTCCCCACATTTTCCATGAAAGCCTGATTGTACACAGGCCAGGCAGCTGGCATTACTGATTTTATAATCTTTGCCTAGTTATTATCAAGCTAAGCTTACAGTTGTTAATGTTGTCAAAGAATCTACAGACACACACAAACAAATGCCCTTACCTATTTTAGTACAATAAGTTTTGATTATTAAATAGAGATTCTGCTCCTTTTATTTTTATATATCTTTTCAATACATCAATAAATGGTAAATCAAATTTACACACATTTATCTGGAAAATCTGGTTCCAGGATTGCTACTATTCTTCAAAGTATTAGCTGGAGTTCTGCAGGGTCGTGGCTGGTGCCGGTTGTGACTTTGCCAAAACTCTTAATTTCCCATTGCTAAACTGCATTAAATGATTACATAAATATGTTAAGTATTAATAAAAAATATATTATGCAAATATGTGCTTCAGTTACATAATCATGAGTGGGAATAGAAGTGGTGTACATACACACAGTGACACAATATGTGACCCTCAGTGTATTACAGAATTAAATAGGTATGAATTCCAACAAGGGCACTACATTATCGGGATTAGATGTGCTACCAGAGTGTGTCTGCTTCCTTTACGGTGTTTTCACAGGATATAAACTGATTTATGAAGGCATTTCTGGGATTGAATTTTTCAAATCTTTGACTCCAAAGCCTTTGGCGTAAACATTACCTTCCCATACTGTCAAAAAGCAGTACTGGGATTCATTTCAGATCTAAGCTATTACTCTTTACATCAAAATATTTTAATTACACTCTAAACCTTTATATTAACATAATTTTCATTGGTTAGTTTGGGTTTTCTGTGCAAATTCTATTTCTACTCATAGGAAGGGATGCTTCAGGGTCCATTTATATCCCGCAGTAAAATACTATGAAAGGTTATTTCTTCTTTTGGGGTATGTTACAAGAAAGGCTGAAAATCAGACAGTAGGCCAAGTTATGTTGTTCACCATACTTTCTGGTACAGTGGTCACCCACCTCTTAATTCTCAGAGATTGTGCACATGGAAGGCTTTAATTTCTTTTTCAGCCTGAGACAATTCTTCAGCCTGACAATCTTATGGCTCCAGCACTTTTACAAGTGACCTTCCCCAGACTTCAGAGCTACTGTTTGATGCTGTTCCTCCAGCACAGCTCCCCAGCCCTTGCAACTGATTTTCTCAGAAGGCATTGATGTATATCTCTACACACTGTGCACGCTTTGAATTCACCTTCAGCACTCCCTATGTCAGTATCTGGCTTGTAACTAAGCCTCTGTGCTAAGGTATGGCTTTCCATACCTGGGCCAGATACATCACTTTATCCCAAACCCAAATCCTGACAGTGCTTTTGGGTCTGAAGAGTACTTGTAGAGAGGGACCTGATTTCCTACTAGAACCAGCTGTTGAAGCTTCCAATAAGAACTAGGCAGACAGCCTCTATGTGGTAATTTCTCAAAATGGCAACAGCAATCTCCAAAATAAGGCTGTTAACACCTTCTAGAATGCCAAAAAAATTTCCAGAGTTTGTCCTGAACAGTACATAACAGGCCTACAACACACAAAGAAAGAGAATGACAAGGAAGGGAGAAACACAGTAGTGTTTAAGAATAGTAGAATACTGCAGAATTTCAAAAGCATGGAAATCCAGGTTGTGATCCATTAAATGAATTTATTTATAAATTAAATACAAAATGGGAAAAATTATCTGAACTAGAGTTTTATGTCAAATGTATGATCATGCAGTATAACAGATCTTCCTCTTGAATAAGTGTAGTAATCACTAGCTGGAGATTTATTTTTTCCCTCTCACTCACATTCTGAGCACTTAGCATTCATAAAAAGGGGAAGGATGTTAAAAGTGAGAACTGAAACACCAGATCCAGTGCCAAGCAACCCATCTGTTAGTAGTGGAAATACTTGCTACATAAGGCATTTTCCTAAGAAGCAGTACCACTCTGTTTGGGGTTCCTCAGGAAGGCAGCAACTAAAAGTAGGTTTTCCAAATCCTACAAGATCACTCTAACCCATGGGGGCTTAAAGGATGGGAGTCTTGTTCCTCTTCCAGCCAGCCATTTTCAGAAGGAAAAGCAATACCAAGGACACTGGGCAATGTAACAGAAAGCAGCACTTTCCTCTGGCAGGCAAGGCTCAATGTCATGGGCAGCAGCAGGCTGCAAGTTTCAGGAAGAGACAGCAGTGTGTTGATTTGGGAAGAGTTAGACCAACTTGATGGCTGTTCACTCCAGCCTGAAAACACCACACAGCAGGGCGTTACTGGGGTACTGCAGCTGAGCTGGTGCTTCTGCTACAAGCTCAGGCACCACTGCTTTCAGTTGCTGGGCATCTCGTTTTGTGGAAATCCACCAATGTGAACTGCTGGAACTTAGTGCCAATGGAAGTTATAAAGTGAAATAATTGCATCTGTAGATCCAAATTTAAAATTTTTGATGTTGATGTCTTTTCACATATGCTAAATTGATATCACAATGTATTTTAACCAGCACTTACATGACTGTAATCAGCTTTCATCAGGTCATATAGTACTGGGCCTTGAAAGAGAGACTCCTTGGACTTCTGTATGCCAGCAACATTAATTTTAGGAAATAGAAAAAAATTTGTCATATACCTTTTATATGCAAACATTTATACCCATGTATAAACTAGACAAGCTGAAAAAGGTAAAATTATTCAAGAAAATGAAACACACACACACAATAGCTTTCAGGCCCTGTTCTTAGCAGGATAAAAGGTGCAACAGGAACTGTACACAGCCTGGGTTTTGTTTTGGTTTTAATTCCTGGAATCTGACCGGCATGTAAGCAAGATTGCTTTGATTGTTAGCTATTTCCCTTCTCTGGAATTCACCTCTTGTCATAATGCCATAGGATTTCCTTTGACTTTATCAAATTCAGCCACACATTACTCACTATTTGGATTATGAAATAAATTACTTTACTGAACAACCAGGATTATTTTCAAGCTGGGTATATTAAGCTGCTGCCAATGATGCCACAATGTAAATGTTTTCTAATTCCCGGCTATATCAAAGGTCCTTTCTTTTCTTCTTGAATATTCAATATACATACAGAGAGATGTTAAAATAATGGAAATTACTAAAAGTAGAGACTACCTTCTCCTGATTTGCTTGATTACAGCTATTGAGTTTTGCTACTGTACTCAAGGTTCTCAAAACCTCTCTTTGTGATGTTTTGGTGCTAATGCCTAGTTGCATCTCAGTATATGTTTATCCAAACGTCTTTTAATAAATGCTTTCTTTCTGAACGACTGCTTAAAAATTCATCCCCAGTTTACATTCTGACAGTTTATCCGAAAACTATTTTTCGTGAAGACAAGGTATGACTTACTAAACTCAGGACACAAGGAAAGGGAGGGGAGGCGAGACTTGTCCTCTCAAGGGCCGGGTCGGAGGGGCGCAGCCCCCGGGTCAGGCCGGGCCGCGGTCCCTGCGAGCGGCGGCATTTCCACGCTTGCGGCACGGACAGACGGGCCCGGGGGTCACCGACAGACGGGCCCGGGGGTCACCTCCGCCCGCCCGAGGGGACTCTGCCGGTGCCGCCCGCTCTGCTAGCGAGTCTTCACGGCAAAGGCCGCGGCCGGCTCCCTGAGCCTCCTTCGCTAGCGGGCAGGCTGACCCGGCCCCGAAGCAGCCGCAGCCTCCGGGCCCCCGATAACGCTCGGGGATAGCCGGCAAGAAAATTCCGCCGGGCCACCACGGTCCGCTCGGCCACACCACCCCGCCCCACACCGCCCCGCCCGGCCGGGCCCGCCGCGGGCTCCCGGCTCGGAGGGAGCGACAGGCCCGGCTGTGCTGGCGGGGGCGAGGCCGGAGCATTGGCCGGGCCGGGCGGCGATGGGTTGCTGCGAGAGGTCTCCTGCAGCCGGGCCCTTGGGCCGCGGGCTGGGCGCGCCCGGCGGTTCGCCAGGCAGGCTGCACAACAGCAGCCTCGGGGGGCTGGCGGGGTGAGACAGCCCAAGGTCAGACGGGCAGAGAGGGGAGAAGGCGCCAGCACTGGGAGCGCGAGATGCGCAGGCATCAGCTGCCGGGAGGGACGGCCGGACTTTGTGCGTGCAAGGGACAAAGGTGTGTCTCGCCCTGAAATGAGCACCTGGGTTTTACCGGCTGCTAGAAACGTGATCATATCGCTGCCTGGTCGGTAAAAATCGAGCTCTGATGCGGCACATGAAAGTCCGGTATGTGTCTGCTTAGGCTGTTTGATTTGTTTTACTTTTAGTATCGTTTTAAAGCTAGTTTGATAGCCCATTGTTTCAGATTTGGTCTTCCCCTTTCTCCGCAGTAAGGGCACTGGAATTGTCTTTTGTTCCTTAGCGCTTGTCTTGAGCCGTAATCCCCTTTCCTTATATAATGAAACTTGAACAGATTTGCTGTATGGAGATGAGCACCCAAGCAGTATATAGTAATTCACTTTGGTTTCCACAGTCAGGTTTGGAATGTGGTAAGCGTTGTTATGTGGTCTGGTCAGTCTGATGTATTGCCCTGAATCTCAATATTCAAGCAGAACCAATGATCAGCAGCACAGCAGAGCTCTGAAAATGCGAACTCGTCAAAAATATTGTTCAAATTTAAATGAAGGTGAAGCAGTCATTATAGCTTCTCTTTGTGGTGGAGGCATTTCCATGCTTCCCACACTGCTTCTGGCTTCTTCCACATCTACCTGCTTCCCAGACCCACTCTTGCTTTCCTGCCTCCGCTTTTTCTTTTCTTGTTGGACAAGGGAAAAAAAGGAGATGCAGTTTCACCCTTCATTGTAAGATCTTGTGATGGGACGTTGTGATTTCATTTAAGTGTATGTGTGAAATCTAACATTGTGGTCTTCACTTAGCAATCTTCACACTTCTGAGAGGATTTATGGAAATATTAATAAGAAATATTAATAATTTTATATAAAAATATTCTTATCTGTAATTAGTAAAAAATAATTCCACACCTATTGTAAAGTATCTGTACAAAGTTTCTGAGAACACCTGGCATAGTTTTAAAAGCCTCTTAAATAGTAGTAGTAGTAGATCTATGGATAAATTCTGTTCTTCCCTATACAGCAGCTGAACTTTCTCATGACTGCAGTTTGCTTTTATGTAGAACTGCAATGCCAGAAGCATTTATCAAGATGTGTATGCTATAAAAGTTAATATGTAGTTAATCTACATGTGACAGAAATGAAAACAAACTTGGACAATGCAGTTTACTTCCATTGTATTCTGTTTCTTACTGACCACCAAAGAACTTAAGAATGAAATTGGACAGTCAGAATGCTTCCAGTCCTGTTAAGTTCCTAATTGGTAAATTTGTTAGTGACTCAATCATAAGGCAGATCCTCCTGGGAATGCCTGACTGACCAGCGGGCTGCGGGGATGGGATCATGGCTGGGAGGAGCTGCTGCTCGGAAGGGGCAGGCGAAGCCCTCGCTTCCGGCTTTGCTCCTGCCCTGGTGGGAAATGTGTGGCTTCTCCCTGGCTGGGATTGAAAACAAACTGCTTGTGGGTTAGTAAAACGGCATCAATTTTGTTTCGAGTCAAATGAATTGTCTGGTGGATTTATTTAGCTAAATGGAGTTATATTGTACTTCATGGTCACTGAAATCACAGAACAGCTGAGGTGGTCTTACTGTTTCTGTAAGGCATAACAGGACATCTAAAGCATTTATGAGACACTGCTTTGTCCTATTCTAAAAACCAACACACTCCCCACTCCCAAAGATCTATAATTCACAGCTTCCCAAGAAAGTTTGTTTTAGCTTTTAATCCTTGTCTTTAGAAGCTTTCTTTAATGTCTAATTATAATTTAAATCTTCTTAGTGAAGTTTAAACTCCCTATTTTTGTCCTGTTGCCTCTGGACAGGACATTTTTTCAATATATTCAAGGTAGCTGCAATCAGAATTTGTTTTGTCTTCAGGTTTTAGACGAGGTTAGTTGACAAACAACTACAAAATATACAAGATTGAAGTAATATTTTAATTTTCTTTATTACCTCTGGACTTCCATTTTGGTTAATGTTTTAAAGAACACTGCAGAATTGGACAAAATGCTTCACATGAGAATTCTCAGTACCAAGTTAAGCAGAGGATTTCTTCATAATGTTACAAATAACCTTTCGCATATTTTTCTGCCTTTTTTTATCTGATAGTATGGATGTGTTGGTGTACTTACTAGCTTTCAAATTTGTCCTTAGATTTTTACTGATGACTGGGGGATGGTTATATCTTTTAAAACATCATCTTCAAACTAATATAAGTGACTGTTTTAAATTTGTTCTGGAAAATTATTTCTGTGAACTGGATATTTTTAACCTGACTAACTTGCAGTTCACAGAAGAAAAGCTTGGTCAGGCGGAGAAGACTGAACTGGATGCTCATCTGGAGAACCTTCTCAGCAAAGCAGAATGCACTAAATTGTGGACAGAAAAAATAATGAAGCAAACAGAAGTATTATTACAGCCAAATCCAAGTAAGGAGCCCTTCGGGTTTTTGTTTTCAACTTTTGAATTCTAGATATGTCAATGTAAATATTTCCTGCAATAGCTATTTTATAAGTAATGACTAAATACAGCAGTTTTAAAATTTGAAGGCTGCAGTTATGGAAAGCACATTTTGAAGAGCTGGTAGGAACTGGAGATGCTGCCAATTGCTGATACTTCCTGAACCTTTCAAATGGGGAAAACTTTATACAGAGCTTTTTAAACTGTTCCCATTCTAATTCCAGATATCTTGGATAGCTGTAAGAACTCTGAAGTTCTTCATGGGGTAGATATAGTGGTTCAAGAATATTTCATTATTTAAACTCTCTGCACAATACCAATCCACTTGAAGCAGGCAAGATCAACTACAATACCTGTCTTTAATCATTCCATTACTGAAGAATTAGCACTCTACTTAAGCAATACAAAAAAGTGTCAAGTATGATTGCATCACTGTTGAGTCTCTTACTGTAACAGTAACAGAAAAAAACCATGGGCATAAGTAATGAAGTTTTATTGTGTGCTAATTTTATTTGTTTCTGAAATTGCTGCTATGAGTAGTAATGTTGAGGACATCAGTTTCAGACTCATCCTGCAGCTGTACTAGAGTTTAGAGCTATAGGAATTTGCTTAGTTTATAGATCTAGATTTCAAGTCAAGACCTGATATCTAGTCAGTGGGTGAACTACTTCGCTGAAAAAAATCTAATGATATTTTATAAAATGATGCTCAAATGATAATTTTATAAAACTGCTACTATCTCTGCACTGAAAAAAATATTCTCCTTGTAATGACGTATTGAGCTAGAATTTATTACTAAAGGTAAATCATACACTGCTAACACTTCTCTGATGCCAAGTGGATAAATTCTTTATTAGAGAGATGTTTGAAGTGTTACTTTGGAAGTGTGTTGCATCTTTTAGTTCCATAAGAATAGTATTTTAAAAATAAACCAACTAATCATGTGGGAAGGATGCAGTAGAACTTGCAGAATATTCTAGCTCAGATTTCTGCTTTTGTCTAGGCCAGAGGAAATAGTTGTCTGTTTCATTCAATTCAATATTTGTAGTATCTCTTGGACTTTTTCAGAAACTTGTAAACTTTGAATATTGAAGCACTGACTGGAGGCTAGTGGAAGTGTTTAAAGAAGTTTCAGTAGAAGGAGGATATATAGTAGTGTCTCAGTTCTGCTCTTCAGTCCATTTTCTTATGGCTAAAAATACTCAGCATTGAGCAGTGATCTTTGTGAATGTAACTTCAGCTGTTTGCTGGCCTACTTGGGAGAAGGATCACATGCTGCAGGGAGCTGCTTGTGGTGGTTGTTAATGGAGTGACCCTGTCTGGGGGAGGAAAAATCACTTTCAGTCCCATTTGTAATTGTACCTGTAGATCAGACCCATGTCCAATAATTTTAGATTACTTTAGTAAAAAATAAATATTATGGCTTGAGTAAAGAAAACAAATTACTTTTGATAATTTCTAGTTCACTCTTGCTGCCAGGGAATACACTAGTACCCATAATCGTCTGTCTTAGATGAATTTTTGTGACCTTCATGAGAGAGTAGTTATTTAATCCACTGCTGTTGAAAATTGTCTAATTAACAAGTAGTATTAAAGTGGCAGGTTTGTTCACTGGAAAGCTTCTTTGTGGTAGTCTGTACTATTGTAGGCTGAAATTAGTTGTTACTGACTGTATAAATAAAGCCAGCTAGGTGAGAAATGAAAGCAGTTGGTCAGAGAAATTGGGTGTTGTACTTGAGGAGTTTGCTTTTTCAGTTACAGAGTCCCCATTGAGGTGTGTGAGGCCTTTCCACCTAAGAAGCTCCCTGTGGCTTAGTGTTGTGATAGATGGGTAGTAATGCTCACATAGTCTCTACACATTTTTCTGCTAATTTTATTGCTCGGACTAAGGAAATATGAGAACACGAAATGAAACATTTTCTAATAACTTTTAATGGTTTCTTTCAGAGTGTTTCAAGGGAGCATGGGGCATGCGAAGGAGGATATAATTTCTGGGGCTATTGAACGTTCAGAATATCTTAATAGGGGACTTAGAGTAGTTGTTGAACTTAATTCCTACTGCAAATTATAGTGAACAATTTTGGTCTTTTTTTCTGGAGGGGGAACAAAAGACTGTTTTTTTTAAGGACAAGTGTTCTGTTATTGCTCTTACTGTGGAGACTTCTGGTCAAAATTCTGAAAATCCATAAAACTATGCTAATGGAGAAGAAAAGTGTAAATTTTCACTTTCCCAGATGGCTCTAGGAAGCATTTGAACATGGCATGGCAAACATGGAACATGGTCAGTTTCCAGGAACAGGATCTCCAGCTTAGCCTTGTTCACTTATGTTGAGTTTAATGGCTGGATTTTGAAATTCTTTTTTTGCGTTACTTTTTCTTATTTGTTTGCTTCTCTTTCTAGCTTGTGCTTTAAATGACAGTAATTATTTCAAATAAACATTTTTAGATGCCAGAATAGAAGAATTTGTCTACGAGAAGCTGGACCGCAAAGCACCAAGTCGCATGAATAACCCAGAGTTACTAGGCCAGTATATGATTGATGCTGGGAATGAGTTTGGCCCAGGAACAGCCTATGGTAAGAAGTAAAAAAACCCACAGATACTGGCTTTTTAAACAATATGAAGTTATATTTCTTGTCTTTCTCTAGATAAAACTGTTTAATGACGTTTGTATCAGTTTGAGTTGACTTGCTGTATAACTGAGCATTAGGAGATCAATGGTATCCATCTTCATGGATGGGTAATTATCTTACCAGAGCAACTACTTTTGGAGTTTAGTTTCCTTGTTAAAGGAAAACGTCTGCACATTTGACAGTATATATTGATTTTATTTGTTGTTGGGAATGAGAATGTTACCTGAAATTGACTTCTGTATAAGAAACCTTTCTAGCTGTACAATATTTCTGCTTTTCTTAATATATAATATTTTGGTAAGGATAGTAGTGTGGAACAAGTCTTAAGTTTTATTCCTTCTCTAGTAAATTTATATACCTATGACAAGATGGTTGGGGGTATTACCTCTAATATTTTTACACTGCTGTTAATTTTAAAGTCTAATTCTAGTCTTCTCTACAACTCTTTAAGTTGCCGATACAAATTCTGCTGTTGATTTAATTTAAACAACTGAAAAATGCAGGTGTCTGAATTTGTTATGATATGCCAACTCTGATAGTTCACTCTCTTCAAGTTTTTCTTCAAAATTACTGTGGGAGAGAAATTTTGTTCTGTGAAGAATGAGTTCCTTGTATCTGTAAATAATGATGTCCTTTTTCAAAAAAGGAAAACACATTAAAAAAAAAAAAGGCAAATGTTTTATAGAATTCTTATGCCAAAATCAATAACAGCAAGCTTTGTTCCTATTACTTCCATGTGATTTTATGTATCTGTGGCCTTCCTTCTGATCATCAGTCTCAAGTCTTGCTCTTCAACATCAAGCAGAATTGCACTTACAGGCACATGGTCCCTTAAGTTGTAGAATTTTTTGAGTTCGGGCAAATACGATAAAATGTTAGCATATAGATAGACTTAGGGTTTTATGTGGTGTGGTACAGTCTTCTCTGAATACTTAGTGTCCTTTCTAACTAAGCTGTATCAGGCTGTTGAAATTCCTTTTGATACACTAACTTCAGTTTCAATGCTCAACTTGCAACTAAATTTCAAAGCTCGGTTAATGTGCAAATGCATATTTAGAAGTTTGAGTAAACGGGGACAAGGAAAAGCACATTATTTTCCAAAATCTTAATAAGCTGTTTCCTTGCTATCAACTACTCCTGTCTTAAGAATGTTGTGTAGGAGAGGAAGTTGTTGGATTAAAATAAGTAGGTATGATGTCCAGTTCTGAAATAGGAGTTGCCTTAATATGTGGTCTCATTGAAATCTTGCCTTGACCTGTGATTGATTATAATAAAAATGGTTTGGCTTGTTGTTTTTGTGATGTTTACTTTGGTGTGGGGTGTGTGTTTGTTTTTATGTTGGGGTTTTTTGGTGTTTAGTTTTGGGGGGTTTGGAGTGTTTTTTTTTTGGGAGGGTGGTTTGTGTTTATTGCACATTATTTTCTTTCTTTTGAAGGCCCTTTTCGTGACATTGGATTGTTTTTCAAACTGCTGGCCTAAACTTTCCTGACTGTAGCAACCTGTTTTGTTAACCTCCTGCCTGAACAATATGATTAACATATTTTTTTCTTTTCAGGAAATGCACTCATTAAATGTGGAGAAACACAAAAGCGAATTGGGGCGGCAGACAGAGAACTCATTCAAACTTCTGCTATAAACTTTCTCACTCCCCTAAGAAACTTTATTGAAGGAGACTACAAAACTATTACTGTAAGCTGAATTGTACATTTTTCAGAATTTCACAGCAATTTTAACTGTCAGTCATCAAAATGTAGTAGTAGATAATGGTGCATTATTACTTTCCTCCAGGTAATGCAGAAAAAAATAAAGTGAAATTTGTGCCTTTGGAGTATTTTCTGTTTTTTTGCCAAGCTAAAAACAAAATAATGATGAAAGCATTTGTTTGTTAACTATTGTTCTATGAGAAGTATGCATATTGAACATAAGCTGTGTGAGAATAATTAGGATCTAATTCTGCCCGTCTTGAACTGAAGAACTTTTTTTTATGTGGAAACTTCTTTAAAAGCATTTCGAAGTAGACAGTCTTTTGCTTGTATGTGTACCCATTCTCACAAACTAACCTAACTCACTTTCAGAAAGAACGTAAACTGTTACAAAATAAAAGACTGGATTTGGATGCTGCAAAAACCAGACTGAAGAAAGCAAAAGTTGCAGAAGCTCGAGCTGCAGTAAGTAGAGGGGGTTTTTTCAGTTGGTCCATAGCTTTCAGACTTATTCATACATATTTATCAACTTGACTGCTTGGTTATGTTTCCAGTCCTAGCTTCTTACCCTGGTTGTTTTCTAGGTACTTTTGTAAGAAATGCCTTAGTGGAACACAAGGAAACAGAAGTGAGTTACTGATCAAGGTGTTAGTCTTCTACTTTTAAATATTCCATCAAGTTAGACTTACTGTCTTCTTGTTTTATAGTAGATGAGCCTATACTGTCAAAAATTAATTGATACAACCTGCCAATATGGGTGTAAATACAAATACTTGAATCTCTGCAAATACTGATGTGCATGTATAATTGTTCTCAACTGATGAACCTATCTATACTTAACTTCTCTATGTCAAAAATATTTGTGGTTTCTCTTTATGTGTTGCTTACTATTTTACACCACCAAACAGAGGTGAGATGCTTCAACTCACATGACTTAACCATTCTGATTCCCTCAGAAAATGCTTATTCAAGGAGATTAAATTGAAAAAAAAAGGTTACTGCTTTTTAAACTCTTAAAATGCTTTAAGTGAAGGAATGGGCTGCTGACTGTATGTAGTTTCATCAGGATATATTTACAGTATTTTCATAGCTGTCTTTTGACTTCATTTTTAAAGGTTCAGCAGTTAATGATGGACAATGAAGTGATTTCTTCTGTGAAGGTTAATGCAGTAAGGGTCGTGCAAATAAAGAAATCCAGTCAATTTAAATACACAGGGACAGTGTGCATGATGGAGAGCAGAAGAAAGACTGACAGATTTTGCTGGCTTTTCAGAATACACGTTTGTCCTGAAAGATCTGAGAGACATCATCTTGAGCTTTGAAGTGCGTTGCATCTTTGCGATCATGATCCATCTAAAAACCAACATAATCTCTACCTGACAGTTCTGCCCTTGTGTGTCAGTCCATGTCATGCACTGTCCCTCTGTATTTAAATTATCTGTATTTTTAAGTCTATGCATGCATTTTCCCTTGTGTAAATTCTATGCAAAAAGAGTCACTTCTGTATTTTTCAAGCTTTCTTAATTTGTAAGACTGACTATGGAGAACAGAGAAGGTGTTGATCAGCAAGTAGTGCAATTTTGGAGCAATGGATAGGGGAGCATTGGATAGTAAACAATTCCTTTGCTTGACTTTGTTCAGAGTTAAGTTAATAAAAAAAGTGATTTTATTATTAGCTTCCTTTGTGGTGTAGTAGCAAGTATGGACCTTACTTTCTAAAGCAATGAAAAGACTGTAAGGAATTGTTCCACTTGAGCCTGGTATTAAAATTATATATATATATATATATATATATATGTATGTATGTATATATTATACTGAAGTTTTAATTCCATCACTGGTGCAATCATTCAGAGCTTGGTGCCAGTTGCTGCTGCTACTGCTTGATCCTAAGTATTCATACAGCAAGTATGGAGTTTTATGCACATAATTTAGTGCTAGAAGAGCATGAAACTCTAAACCTCTTCACTATTTTGCTTATACTTTGCTGTCAAAATGTAATTAAAATTAATATGCATGTATAAGAAATATCAGATTGTAGAATGCCAGCAGATATAACAAAATTGCAGCTCTTCTTTATCCTTTGCAATATAGCTAACCTGGATATAAGTGTGATGCAAATGGGTTAGGTTCTGCTGTCTCCCTTTACTGATAAAGGAAGAAACCTAACAAACAGGGCTGGTTAGTGAAGTGTGTTGAGTTGTGACACAAATTTTTATGCTTTACTATTTTCTGTGACAGGTTAAAGTGCTAAATTTTATCTACATGTGATTACATATTTTTATAACTAGGAAAAATAATTTGAAAATTACTTGTCCTTTGCTTACTATACAACTGAAACGGCTTAGTTCAGTGTTTAAAATAAAAATCTAAACTGTTTTATTTATCTGTCTTCACAGTCTTGTTTAGCTTAAACTTGCAGTACTTTGTGCTGATAATCTAGTTACCTGCTATATTTGCAGTTTTGTAACTTGCTTTTGTTTTTTATCTGTACACTTAAGCAACTAAACATCTCTCAGCCTGAAGAGAATAACATTATGGTAAATGTCTCTTACATGCTCAACTTGCTGCATGTAAAATGGCTAAAGGTTTGTTGGCCTCCTGTGTTCATTCATTTTCCTGTCAAATGTTTCCTCTTGCTATCCAGTTCATTTTGCTGTTTTCCATTTGAAAATGGATTGGTGTAATGCAAAAAATACACTTATGTCAGTACAGCACTGGATGTTATTTTTATCAGATTATTTCTGATAATTTGAAATACACAGTATTGGATTCTAATTTCTGTGATTTTTATCAATGTAAACTTAGGATACAAAGGAGTTAATTTTTCACTTCTGAAATTATTTTCAGCTATTAGAGGAAAGGAATTTAATTTTCCTATCTTTTTAATATGAGTTAAAGTGAATTACGTGAAATGGTAGGAATATGTAGAAATTATTCCCTTCAAGCAATGTGTTACAAAGAACTGCAACTAAATAATGTAACTGAAGTTAATGGCTTAACTTAGAGTACAATGTATCCTAAACTGGTTGCAAAGACTCCCTAGTGCAGCTGGTTTTTGTACTATAGTTGTGGAAGTGGAAGAGAAAGGGATTAATTAGTTTTGTACAGCATAGACTGTGCTGTCCAGCCTGTTCTGGTTGGGATTTGGATCTGCTCAGCATATTGGGTCTCATGTCAATTTAGAGTTCCAGATTTCTCAGCTGTGATCAGATTAAAAAAACGAGCAAATAAACTTGTTTGTTACAGTTTTCTCCTGCAACCTTTATGCACATTTCTTCCTGCTCCTGATTGTGTCATCATCTTACAATGGCAGAAGATGAAAATTAAAGAACCACATTGCAAGAGGGAATTGAAAGAGCAAGCTGAAGTAATTAACTTTTAGACTAAATCCCTTGCAGTTCTATGACTTTGCTGTGCTGCTTGCTACTACTCTAATATTCAATATGAGATACCTCTGTGGCAGTTTCAATTAAATTTAGGTTTCAGTCAAAGTGCTTGTGAAATAGAAAACTGGTAATGAAATTAGCAAGAGAAAGCATTCATCTGTTTCAGTGTAAAAATGAGAATAGATTTCCATAGTTTTCCATTATTATAACACATTAAGGTAACTTAAGTTCCTCCTAAGGTAATTTGGTTTGTCTGATTCATGCCATTTTTTAAAGTAGTTATGTCTTGTGTTGTAATAGCTTGTTTTAAGTAGATTCTTGTAATACATGAGTTCTACAAGTCACACTCTCTTCAGTATCTAACTTGTTTCATAGCTGTAATGTTATCCATATTCATAATGGATTCATTGTGTATGAAGGGCTTTGGGCAACTGACTTGTAGCACTCCTCAAATCCCTGTGAAGTTCTGAAGACAGGAAAGTACATATACTGTAATAGAGTACCACCAATGTCTTAAGTTTGTATGTTTTTATTTTCTCCTCCCCCACTCTTAATGCTGACTAGATATGGGCTGAGGAAGTGACAAAAGTAAGTAAACAATTTTAAAATCGCAGAATTCTGAAATCATGACTTGTGCTGGTCTGCTGTAATAAGGGATATTACATGTTGTTGATTTCAATCTGATGCTGGCAGCCTGGTGCATTACATCAGAGTACACTGGGCCCCTCCAGGCCCTTTCAGGTTTCAGTGGCAAAGCAGTGCCTGGGGCTTGTTTTGTAGTAAGCTGTTTCTGGCTGTCACTTAGTACCACTACCATATGATTCTCGTGGGACGAGATACAAAGGACAACTACAGGACTTCTCTCAAAATTTACTGGCATGATATCCTTGTAAGAACAAGCTTATTTGAAAATTTTCAGAAATATTGGGGTCTAGTAATCTAAACTCTCCTGAAAACACTGATATTCAAGTTTTACCCTGAGCATGGAACACCTCACCTTTATCCCCAGTGTCATTAGATCTTCAGCAGCTTAAGTCAGGGGGTAGGCACATCTGAAAACTGCACCTGCCCTGAAAGCTTGTTTGTAAGCTTAGCACTAGCCTTGGCATGGGCGTTGCAGCCTGCTCTGTTGAGCCATCCCCTGCTCAGGGACGAACTCAGAGGAGCTAATGGGGTGCTGGGCAGTGGCTGCTGTGGTCCCTTGAGAAGGGCTGTTCATAGGCTCACTGGCTCTGACAAACCAGCTTTGGCAGCAGGCTGTGAGGGGTGGTGCTAGCAGGGAAGGAGGGGTTTCTCAGTGGATTTCTGTAGAGGAGGGGTAATTAAAATTATGTCAGTAGAAGGAGAGAATGGGCTTTGGAGTATGGTTTTTAATGGGGAACTAGTTAGGCTGTGGGAGGTGTAGGGAGAAGCTGGGATATGCAGCTTCAAGTGAATTTTTAGGAGTTGTGGGAGTTGCTCTTCCAGTTTTCTGTGAGTTATGGTGTACACAGGTGAGAATGAGTGTGAGTTCAGAGGGAAGGAGGCATTTAAAGTAAAAGGGGGGGGTTAACTGTAAAAGGAGGGTGAGGTCAACTTTGATCCCAAAGTTTGAGAATTATTTAATGAATTAAGTAAGGTAACATTTGGAAGCAGGAAACCTGTCTGCTGGTCCTGTATTGGGGAAAAAATGGCAGGGAAAAAATACTACTGTAATGAAAACTAATCTTGAAGTTATCTGCTTTTCAGAGATAAGGACAAGCAATTTTAAGGGTAGTGAAATTTAAAAGATTATGGCTTGGAAAGAAGAAATTAAGTGCTTAATTATAGCATAAAGAAGACAAAAAACTTTAGCTCTTGTAATAAATGATGTAATTCAAGGTCTCCTTTTTATTTAGTAGATAAATAGCAGAGACTATTGAGAAGAAACTACAGCATTATGTGCAGCCAGCAGAACAGTAATCCATCCACATTTCTAAAGGCAATCTGTCCTTCTGTGTTTGAGAGTTGGAGGAGGAGATTCATAAATGTTTTCAATGTAAATATAAGTTTCCCAGCAAGGAATTCAGACCATCCAGTCATTCTGGCTCAATTAGTTGTTGGTGTGGTTTTTTTTGGGTTTTTTTTTTGGTTTTTTTTTTTTTTGAGTTAAAATAAAACATGTGCATGGTGGCAATGACAAACTTTCTTCAGTTTAGCTTCCTCTAACTCTGCATTTCAGAAGGAATGTTGAATACTAGGCACAGCTGTATATCCACTACCAGCGTTATACTAAAAGCATGTCTGGTAAAGCAATATTAGCAAGGTGATTTTATTTCATATGCTGTTATGTGTGTTGTCCCTTCACTGCAGGATTGCACAGAATTTCTAAGAGGTCCTGTACTCCTGTGTTAAATCTGGGGAGATTATTTACATGTGAATATTCAGATTCAAAACCTGAGGTCATATTCTGTAGTTGCAGAGCAAGTACCATTTTGAGGGATCTTCATGAGACATACCTAGTGAGGCCTTTTAATGGTCCTAAAAAACACAATACAGCTGCAGCTGGAAAGTCTAGTCTTGTATTTTTGAGCTCTCCACTCTGTTCAGAAATAAAGGTGATCAGGCCATAAACTTCCCAGATTAAAAGTCAGCTGGTTTTCACCTTTGCCTCAAGGTGCAGAATAGATATGCTGTCCTGCTACTGTTCACTTAGCAGTACTGAAATTAGGATGGGCAAAACTCATTAAAGACATCATCACAATTCAGTTAATGTAAATCTCTATAAAACCAGTACACTGGGCTTTTGTAAATATATTTTAAGTCACTCTGTACTAAGTTAATGTGTCACCACATTACCTACTTTTCCTTTTCTTACAGAAAGTAGTTAATTTGCTAGAATGTTGTTGAAACAAATAAAATCATTCTGATGGATATGTCCCCCTTCTTGTAAGTTCCTGTTCTCCTGTATTTACTTACCTGACAGGGAGACAGAAACACATTAGCAACTGCTGACTTTAGAGAAGCAAGAGACAAAACTATTTCTCTCCAGATAAATGAGTTACTTATTGCTTTGATGGGTTTTAAAAAGAAAATTAAGATGCTGCTTTTCTTCCCCTCTTGGCTATCAGATTAGCTTTTTTCATCTGTTTGTTCTTACATTTCTCTCAAAGATTGACAGATGCATTTCACTGATACTAATTCAAATTTAATCAGAAAATTCAAAGCAAAGATTCTTTCCTCAACAAGCTTTGAAGACCTAATTAATTAGAAACTTGATACAAACACTGCTATCTCAGTTTTGAGTAAGAGGCACACAGTTCTCTTTAGGTACTTCTTCAGTGTTTAATTACTGTGTAAGCCCTTCCAGCTGCAGTGACTTCAGATGGAAAAACATTTCTTAGGTAACTGTGTCATTCTTCTGTGCCCTTTTCTGAGGTTCCATGTGACTTTTCATACTGATTAACATTAGCTGGCTGCAGGAGCAGAATGGTTGCAAACACATAAAATGCTTTTGAAACCAGTGTTTTACTGGTGTCACCTCAGTAATTTTCCTGAAAATATATTCCTCCTTTCTGAGAATAGTTTTGCTGCATCTTGGACCTAATGTAGATTTTTGCCCATGGGTTTGGTTTAAGAAACAAAGCACTAAATGAATATAAGTATTGAGGCCAGGTAATCCAGATTCCAGGCTGAGAACATTCTGTTGTAGAGCAATGATTATAAGAGCACATACTCTGTATATGTGTATTTAGTGTAATTTTTTTCTTTCCCCATCAAAAAAGTATTCTATAGTAATTTTGGCTGTGCTAGATTGAAGTAATTTAAAACTAGTGTAACACTGATAACTTACTTAAAAATCATTAACAACTATATGTAACAAGGAATAAATTTGAATTATTGAAATATGGAACTTGTATTACATCATTGTAATAGAAGTTTTACTCTAATTGTAGTGCCAAGTGTTGGAACATTGTGTATAGCTCAGATTTATTTATTTCAAAGACGCCTTGATTACAAGCTCCAGAAATAGTTGTAGTAGTTTAGTGGCCTGTATAAGACATTAAATTAATGGTAAAACTTCACATCAAAGGTTTATATACAGCTGATTGCTGTGCAGTTACCTTGCAAAAATAACGTGAGATTTACCCTGAATTATTTAATCAGGGACCTGATAAGTTCGTATATAGAAAAAAATTACATTACTCTTGGCTGCCATTGGTATGCTGACTAAACCCCTGGTGCAGACATGGTTGTGCCAGTGAACACTTGGTTTGTTATTGGGAGAGGTGGGGTAATACTGCTGGCAAAGAAATGCCTTTCTTTTGCATATGTAGCAGATGTCTGATAGTAAGCTGCTTGCTATGTACACAGGGCCTCAACATTTCTGAACCCAGAATGCAATTCCTGTTTTGCTAGTAGAGATCTGCAAAGAAAAAACCCATTTCAAACACCTAAGCTTGTGATTTGTGCATTTGTATGAGCAGTTCTGCATCAAGTGGGGCTGTTGCAGTGGGCAGGTGTAGCACAGAGCACTGTACCTGATGTGCATTCTTGCTTTCAGTCTGAACAGGAGGTGCGAATTACTCAGAGTGAGTTTGACCGTCAAGCAGAGATTACCAGACTGCTGCTGGAAGGCATCAGCAGCACACATGTGAGTACCCAAAAGGTCTTGAGGAGGAAAGTCAATATCAGGGTGCCTTCTAAAAATAGCTGTAGTAAACTTCTTGGGAACTCTGATCTATGAGGTTTCACTTCAGTGCATTAAAGCATCAAACCACAGTGGTTGTTTTTGTTTAAATTCTAATTTAGTATCCATGAATTTAACTTTATTTTCCCATTAACCTTCAGAATGCAGGAGCTTTCATTTTCATTCTTTATACCCAGCTTCCTATTCATCAGATCAATTGAGTGTTGAAACCACAAAAACGTTTACTCAAGTATGTTAATTTTTGTCACGTTTTATCCTGTTTGCCTGGTAAATCCAGGCACTCTGCCTATCTGGTGTTTATCCCTAAATGCCAGTAGTGGCATTAGCACCTGACTAGGTGCCTACTCCTTCTAATGCACCTGGGTGCCCCTGTAGACTAAACTCTTGAATTCTTTGCTGTGTTGCAGGCACATCATCTCCGCTGTCTGAATGACTTTGTGGAAGCTCAGATGACCTATTATGCACAATGTTACCAATATATGTTGGATCTCCAGAAACAACTTGGAAGGTAGTAATACTGTATAAACTTTGGGGAAAAGCTCAGTTTTTAATAAATGCTTTTGAATAGTAGGAAAACTTACACTGATAGAACAGTGGTGGACACACAGGCATGCTGGACTGAAAGGAAGTGTATCTGTTCTCAGGTAATTAATATGTAATTACCCAGTGCAACTACTTCCCTAAGCCCACACACAGCACTAAGGCTTTTTGAGAGTTGATCTACTGAGATTTTATAGATTGTGTAATTGAAGAAGGTGAGCTCTTGGTAACCTCATTTAATGTGAAAAAAGAAATTTCTAGAGATTTAGTTGTAGTCTCAGTTGTAGTCTCAGTATTTCAGTTGTCTTATGCTACTAAACCACTTTGCAATGTGGGAAAAGTTTTTATACTTCCTATAAATTCCTGTTGCCTCTTAATCAGATAACAACCTGTAGTGAATTTTCTGATGAAACTCTGTTTTTCACTCTTAACTGAGTTGCTAGCATAGATACTGTATAGAGAGAAATCTACTTCATCCTGTTTATTATCCAGAGCACACACAGTAGAATGAAAAAGTTTCTCTTGTTTATGGGTTTAGCATTTTTAAAGTAAGAGAAGAAGCTGACATTAGTTTGTGCTCTTAATCTTATTTGTGTGATGGGTGGGAATGTAGAGAGATCTACATACTTACATTTCATAAAGTTTCTCTATTGTAATTCTTCACAAATCACCCTTTCCTAGAGTTACACAGATCATGTTATTTACATGAGTGTAGGCACTGAAGAATTGTCTGTACTTAGAAGTTTACTGTGGTATCTGTTCTAGGTAACTGTCTCTGAGATATGTGTTTATGTTTTCCCTGACAAGGAAGTAAAAACAAACGTGTTCTTGAGTCTTACCCTTTTCCTGACTTGCAACTTCCTGTGGCATTTGATTTCCTTAGTTTGTTTAAATGTGTAGTTTAAAGATTTTTTTTTATCTTGAAGAAGACTAAACTACTAAATTGTAATTTAAAATATTTAAAACTTTGACCTGAAAAAAGCTGCATCTTTAAAGTTACATCCCAATCTAATACATTCCAGATAGTCAACTATAAAATATGGTAGCACATAAATACAAGGTATGGAATTGAAAGCTTGAAAATAAACATTTACAGTATTAAGGAAAAACAACTTTTAAACTAGAAATTAAGTGAAATATTTTTACACAAATATTTTGAGAGGATTTTTAAAATGTATACTCTTATCTTAGTGTATTTATCAAACAGCCTTAAACATAATACCCTTATTCTAAGGAAGAACATGTTCCTCTTTAAATTCTGCTTTAGGATGTATAGCTTGTCCCAGAGCTGCTGTTTTTGTTTAGAATTTGTGTAAGTTGCTACCAAGTATAAAAAAAGTGTATTTGAAGAAAACAGTGCCATTAGGAAAACAGAAGGATGTATCTTTGTGTGGCTGTGATCTGATTAGCATTTTTAGTAAAATGACTATAACTGGTAGAAAACAAAAGCATGGAAGCTTTGCAAAATTCTAAATGCCTCTAACAGTGACGTCTCTCTGCCTGTGTGGATTAAAATAATTATGGTATTAAATGTTGGGTGTGTCTTTCCTTCCTTGCGCAAGGAAATCCCACTGAAGTATAACAGAGCACTGGGACAGGGTCTCAGGTTGTGCTCCTTGCTTCCATTTATAGGGATGTGGTGTGTAGCCCTTGCACTAAATAAGCAGGGTTTGTGTTCTGTGCTCCTGAGGTTATGTGGGCACATACAGACCAAATAAACAACTTAGGCAGCTCAGATGTTGGTTGTGCTCTGTTGGTTAGCACGTAGTGCTGAGTTACACAGCTTTTCACACATCTAAGAATGGTGTTGTGCAATATTCTCACATAAAAGCCAAGAACTGTGAAGGACTGAGTTTTGTGTTGAGATTGTTGATGGACCAGAGGCATTCAGCCTCTAAGTGAGATCAGTTTGTTGCTTGAAAAAGAAACCTGGTTCTCAGAGGAGATGCTTATGATGTTTTACCTGGGTCAGAATGGGCATACACCTCTTCCTGGTTCCAAAACTCAGCACTGATCTTCCTGATGTACTCTTCAGAGGCAACTGTAAGGAAGGTGGGAGGAAAGCTTGTACTCAGTTCTCTTTATATAAATAGACATATTTTTATGGATGTTTCTCTTCATGGCAGCACCAGCTGCTTATCTCTGCACTTCCTTCCCCTCCTGTGAGGCTGGATTGATTCTTTAAATCTCCCTTTTTTCTTATTTTCAGTTTCTCAGAATCAACTAAACAAATCTATTTCAAATATTCTGGTACTCTGGCTGCTTTTTTCCTTCCTGATAACTGCTTTTGCTCTGCAGTTTCTCAGCTTCCCTGACAAACAAATGTAAGCTGTGGCATAATTTTTTCAGATTATCTATTACTAGTATCTTACTCTACAAGCTGTGAGACTCCTGTTACTCAAGCATTCAAAATAAAAAACCCTGAACCAGACAATCTCTGTATAGCTGAAGCCTTCCAGAAAAATGCCTTACATATGGCTTTGCAAAAGGAGTGAGACTTAATGCTCCACTGATTGACAGGCTGGTTATAAGGTTTTGGCTTTCTGTTTCACTGACTACAAACAAGTGACCCTTTGAACTGAGCAGAATAACTTACAGGTAATTACTGTGTTAACTGAGAACAGGTTTAGCAGTATATTGAACAGTCATTTAACAATATTGAGAAACAGCCGATTGTCATTTAAAACTAAATCCCTCTGGTTGAATGCCCACTAATCATGTAATAAATACATCATGAGGCACAGCTGAGTTATACCTACAGAAATGTGGGGGTCTGGTTTTGGTTCCCTTTATTCTGCTTGTTAGATTTGTTCAGTGAATATGATGAACTAGTTTGAAAAACTAATCTAGCAAATGAAAAAAAAAACAAAAAAACAACATTTGGTGGAGTTGCCTTCTCTTGGTGAGTTGAACCAGCTCAAGTGGGGTCAAGGTAAGCCACAGTGGCAAATGGGACTTCCTCCTTTGCACTGTAGTAAGCTGCTGCCTAAATTCAGAACAGTTTCCTGAAAGTCTTGCCAATTTTTACATGCAATTTGCTCTGACTGTCATGGGGCTAGTGCTGTCCTCCATATTACACTGCTGCTCTTTCCTTTCAGTCAGATACAATTGTGACTGCAAGATGAACATGTTTAAAAAGCTATTCTCATGGAAAGTTAGTTATCTTCCTGATTTTTGGTTAGTTCAGGTTGTTGAATCAAAAGCAGCAGATTGCTAGATCTGACTCAAATTATGGAGAATGAACGTTTGTGCAAAAAAGGGTTAGGAGTGGGTCTACCCTGTTTGGTGGCACTGTGCATTTACCAGGTTAAGTATAGTGTGAACCTGGAACCTTGTGTGCAGGACTGCTGCAGCTGTTACAGATATGAGCTGCATTTGTTCCCACTATTTACTGTCACATGAACCAAAAATTCGTTGTTGCATTGATGGATTTGGTTTTTACCTGCATCAGCTCCCTAAAGCAGCTCCTCTTATGATCATATGAGCACCAATAATGCTGCAGACATGGTTATGGGAATATGCTGATCTGGATTTACATAGCTACAGTTGCCACTGAACTGCACCTTCAGAAAAAAAATCTGACTGCACAGGTGGTGTGGGCAGAGGTGGGATGAGGCTGTTTTCTGGTGGGTTCATATGCATGGTATGGATAGATCCTCCTTATGTCAAAAGAGTAGACACAGGAAAGGAGGGGGAGGTAATATGCCCATATCCCAGATGTTAATGAAGAGGCATCCATGTAGAAGGACTGATGAGGGGAGTTATGTGTGGGAATTCACTGGTCAAAAGAATGGAAGGAAATACAACTACAGTTCCAGGTCACCATGACTCAGTCTGACTCCTAGTTGCTGGCTGTTTTTTACTGCATCAGCTCTGTCACTTTTTAAGATTTCTGTTGACCTACCCTTAAGGTCAAATCCAGATGGGTGTTAGAACCAAGTAAGGCAGCAAAGGGACAAGAAATTGTTACGTCAGCTGCTAAATAAATGAGTTTAGCCTGCCACAGAACTGCATCCCAGAATGGCAGAGTGGCATGAACTGTTCTCAGAGCTTGTCATTGCTGATCCATTCTTCCTACTCCACTGCCCCAAAATCTCTTGCTGCTTTACTCTCCTTTTTGCTCCTTCCATTTTTCAGTCATGTTGTTCTGTGCTTTCCCTTGTATCTGCTCTGTCACTCATAACAGTTTTTTGTGACTGAGCTCATTAACTAAGTAGGATATTATACACTTTTTTCCCCTCTTTTTCAGTCAGGTTAATGAATTTAATTGACTTCATGGGAGGGTCTGGCAAGCACTGTGGCTGGCACTGAGCAAGTAGCAGCCTGACCTAGAAATGAGGAGCTTAAGTTGGTATAAGTTCATTTTTAGTGTAAAAATATTTTTTGCTTTACAGCATGAAGTTAGCTGAATCAATGAACTGATTTAGATTACAAAAATAGTTGTGTGGTTTTTCTTGCTTTCAGAGGGAGGCTGTGGTTTTAAGTTGTATTATATTTCCCTGATCTGGTTCGTCAGCACAATCTTTTGTGTAACCACATAATTGAGGAATGAGCAGGAGGAGGTGGAGGCTACTTTTCCTGGCAGAGCTGTCAAAAGAAATGTTTATCAAAGTACAGTCTGAATTAAATTTGACCAACAGTGCTTTCTTGGTTTTGCCTTTTTTAAAGAGACAAATATCCAGGGTTTTTTAAGGTGGCAGTATTCCTTTTAAATGATACTGATTTGATTTATGCTACTTATCAGGAACAAGTATCTTTATTTACGTTATAGAATGCTCAGTGCTGTTCTCTTGCTGCTGTTTACTGGTGTTTATTGCTGATAAAAATAAGAATGCTAATTTAGGCATGGGAGCATGTATAATGCCCTATGTAAAACAGATTCACTCAAGTATTTTCTTTTTTTTTCCTCTCACAGCTTTCCATCTACTTTCCTCTCTAACAACAATCAGTCTTCCACAACTCCTGTGCAGAGCGTTTCTTCTCCCTCAGTCTTGGCCTCAGCCTCTGCTTCATTGCCTTCAGTAAGCAATTCAATGGTTACTTCAGGCCTCAGTGAACTGAAGTCATCAAGTGGCAGCAGAAAAGCAAGAGTTCTCTATGATTATGATGCTGCAAACAGCAGTGAATTATCTCTACTTGCAGATGAGGTAAGAGTTTTCTATGTACCTTAATTATTTGAAAGTCAAATGGGAATGTTTGTGAGTAGCCAGTTAAGATAGGCTTCATCAAAAAGTCTGTGTAGTTGATTTTTTAAAACTAAATTTCAGTAATACCCTTGGAGCATTGTCCTGTACCTGTATATCCTCATATTCTGTAGTGAGAGTCAACATCTGTGACACCATCTTAGCTTGCAAGAACATTTGCTGGACAGTCAAGATGCAGTTCTGCTGTCTACTTTTCACCAACCCTTTAGCACTATTTTCAATATGATTAGTCTTTCAAATGTTGAATATTGCAATGTGGGAAGAATATGAAAATACAACAACTTCTTGCTTTGTGAAGGTTGTGCTGCGTTTATTCCTGTTCCAGTTCAGTTGCAGTTGTAAGAGAGTCTATACAAAGCAGATGGAGATAGATGGTGAAGCGCAGTGCTGGAACAGAGTTCCACCTGGTAATGTGAATGTAGCTTAATGCTGAAGAAATTTAAAAAAGCATATTCAGGATTTTTGGGTTTTTAAATGTGCATTACTTCAGTATTTTTATTTAAGTTTTTTCTTATCCAGAGAGTGGCTTAGGTAGAACTGTGGACTCAGATTTTCTGTGAAGATGTAGCACATCAACACCATCTGTCTTTCTATCATGCAGAAGTCTCTTTTAGGCTGCCTGTTAAGGGTGAGGGTGGATATACAAGTTAAAGATAAAACATAATAGAAAATAAACAATAATGAGTAGAATTTCAACAGAAAAAAGGTACTTTAAAATATGATACTGTGTCTGTTCCATGGACCAGTGAAAGAATTTTTATGAGCATTAGATTATGTTCCATGGATGATCATATTAAATGCTCTGTTTAACCTGGTTAATCTCAATTCCAAGACACTGGGAATCACATGAAGATAGACTAACTCTCTTTCCTGCAAATGAAGTTTATAATAATGTGTTTCTCTTTTTGTAGGTGATAACAGTGTACAGTATCCCTGGCATGGATTCAGACTGGCTGATGGGTGAAAGGGGAAATCAGAAAGGCAAAGTGCCTATTACTTATTTAGAACTGCTAAACTAAATGGTTGGCTGGAATAGAGACTGTCAATTATGGCAACACCATATTTATATACAATTAACGTTATGTAAGCAGGTTTATGTGTCTTCCATGTTATTGTCTTGAGGGACAAATACCAGCCATTAAAAACTGGCTTTTCTGCCAGCATGGTTGCACGGTCAATACTCTATTCAAACTTAATGTGTTTAAAGCTTTTACTTCATGTGCCAAGAACGTTTCCTACAGATTTGTTTCTACTGAAGTTTTCACTAATACAAGCTTCTACTTTTGAGTAATCTAGATTGAAAGCAGGAGGTACTTTCTTGTTTTCTACTGAAATTTTTCATTAATGGCAAAGCTTTTCTTCACATAAAATAAACTTATTGTGAACTGATGCAGGTGTAATGCATGTTATTTGAATAACCAAAACCAAATGTGAAACATAAACCATGTGGTTCTGTTCCCAACAGTTGTAGAGCTCAGATGTGCTGAGGCACACATGGCTTCTGCTGAGTGTCTTGTGCATTTAGTCACCTCTGAAAACTTAGGGCAATTTCTCAGTATGCTGAGATTTTAAGTTGCATCTAGGTGGATTGACACAAAGTATGGACATACATTCCGACTTGTTTTTAACCTTGCCTTGTATTTTTTCCTTTAATTGCTTTCCAGAAAAGAGACTAATTCAGTTTGATTAGTAATTATAAAAGTTCTTTCAACTGCAAATCAGCCTTTATGTTAAATTAAGCACTGCATTTTGCTAACCAAATATGCACTGTCTCCCTACATTTAAGTAGTTGTATAGATGAGCATACAATTGTTCAGATTATAGGTTGTAATGAAATTCTGCATCCCCAATTCTTATGCACCAGTTTATTGTCATATTCTAATTGGATTCAATTAGTGTTAGGTATTTTGCTTTGCAAGAGAATCTCCTTTCAATACAGGAATGAAAAAATGTTTTAAAACTAATAACTGCTGGTTTCGATGCTTTTTTAGCCAGGCCAAGCTTGAAAATTAATTCCTACTGATTCTGAACAGAAATTCTGATTTAGACCTCTTGCAAACCATGAGATTTTAATAATTTCTGTTACTTCTGTTTCTTTCTAGAGTAGTAGTGTCTCTTGGAGCAAAATTCTCTACCATACGGAAATGCCACAGGTAAACCCATCAGTATTTGGTGTCTAATTGAGACAAATACGTGTGGGAAGGTGGAAAGAAATATCTGTGGAGTATGTGACTGTGCAAAGATACTGAACTTAGCACAGAGCTCTACCCAAACTAATTAGTCTTCTGAAATGCAAGCATGATTAGCCCACAAACAGCAGTGTGTTAGTAATTGGAGCTGGCATCCATACACATCTCATACACAGTGCAGGAATTACTGTGCTGCCACAGTGTCACCAGGGCAGGTACCAATTTACTGAAGGTTACGGAAGTTGTAGGAAGGGATAGAGTTAAGCCCTTATATTCTAGTTGTGAGGATATCCCATATCTTCACGGAGCACTTTAGGGAGAGTGTCTTTCTTGTCACAATGCAGATACTGCAGCAGTAGACTAAAGCAGGCATTTGAAGATTGAAAAATATGAAGTTTAATAACTGTAGGTGCTCTGCTAAAATGAGAGAATTGCTTACAAGCTGTTTAGGCAATGACCAGCAAGTCCATGTCCAACAAAAGCTACCAAAAGATGGTTCTGATGTTTTTGGAAAAGTGGGAAATGCCCAAATGTGAAACCTGAAGATATTTTGACAAAACCAATGAAACTGTCCATCAATGCTTTCAGAATACTTCCCCCTCAAAATGAACTCAGGTATTTAGGAGTAAATAAGTGGCTTTAGAAGGCAGGAATTGCTAATTCCTAAAGAGTCCAGTATTGGAAGAAAGCCTGAGTACAGTCTGTTGGAGATGTTTTACAGAGGGCACATACACCAATCAGAGATAAGGGACTGAGATTTTTTCCTTGCATTGTGTACAAAATTCTCCACTGGTGTAGGATATAGTCTCTTCTATGTACACAGGTCTGTAGGTGAAATATAGAGGAAAAGCTCATTTCAGGCTTAGTTTGCTGTAAATTAAAGGGCTCCTGTGAGCTTTGGTGAGGGCTGAACAGCCCTGGTAGCCTACTGATAGTCTCTCTTTACTCATGCAGGTGACATCATAGCCAGGGATTTATACGTGATGGTTTTAAAAAGCAAATTGGGCAGGATTGGCCTCATCTTGTATTTTGTGGCATGCTTCAAATTTTACAAGAGGCTGACATGGGCTTTCTGATTGTTACAACATACCAAGAATATATTGCAACTCAGAAAACAGAAGAACAAATGTAAAACTTGTCAGAACTTGTGCTGGCTGTGTCTGTGCTGTGTACACACCTTGTCTGGGATTTCAGAACCAAAGGTATTATTCACGGTTAAAAATTTTGGTACTGGTGTCCACATAATATCATCAGTATTGATTGGAATAGCTGAACTGGGTCTCATTCTACCTTGAAAGCTGAGTAGGGGGCTTAAAAGCTGATGTGGAATGGATCTTTGGTCTGGGCTTTAGCCAGGTACTCCAGTCCTGTGAAGTTGAAGGAGAACAGCACTAGGCTACTTCTTCCTGCTTGCATTTTAGAAGGCCCAAGAATTCACCATTTCAGTGTTGTAGACAGGCACTTATGAGTCCACAAAGTTGAAAGACTTTTGAAGCAAATGTTTTTTATTCAAAACCCACCATATTACTTCTCTGACTCAAGTTTCTGGCAGGAGTCCCATAAGTAATCTTTATGCTTCCACCTAGAATGAACAGGCATAAATATTCCCATATGTATTCAGTGTAAAATACTTGAGCATAGATTTTCAGTTCCCCAAAAATGTAGATGAAATTGTCAATGGAAGGTAGTGAAGCTGTGTGAAATTCTGCAGTGCAACATGGTACCTTTTAATCCCTCTTTCAGAATTTGTGAAGTTTCTCTACCTTACCATGCAACTCCACATGAGACTTAGAGCAAAAGGATTTAGTGTTTAAATGCCTTATCAGTAGTTATATTTGGGCTTCCCCTTTGAATCCCAATTCAAAGCTGGTCTTTCAGAGGGTCAGGTAGTCATCTGGTCTGAAATAAATACTTCTGGGAAAGGGAATAGGGCTACGAAGCCCCATGAGCCATAAATAAAGTCCTGGAATCCTGTGCAATGAGAACTCCCGTGAGAGTTTGTACCCTATAAGAGGTGATGGCAAATTAGTCACTGCCTCTCTGGCACTATGGCTGCAAGTCCTGTCTGAACAAGGAGTGCAGAATTAGGCTGCCTTATTTTCCATGGACTGCCAAAGGTATGTATTTACTCAGGCTCACAGTACTGAGTCCTGTGAGGCTGGTGTAGAATCCCTCTATCTCAGACCTCCTTGAAACTGTTTTAGTTTTTTTCTTCCATTTCATTCATCTCAAGAATTTATGAACTGATGAAAATCCTTGCTTAAACTCGGCCTGCAGCCCAATCCTGATTCATTTTCTTTAAGCAGAATTTCTGGGTGTTTGTTCTAATATAATGGGCTGTAACAAATTAATCACACAGCTATTAATGGAAGTACAAGGCAGTACACTGCAAGCTTGTTAGTTTGGCCATGCAAATTTGTGTTTGGTGAGGATGCAAAGAACATCGGTCAAGCTGACAGACAGCCTCAGTTGTCTTCTGTGCTGCTGCCCTTACCATTGAGCCGTGACATGGAGCATTCAGGGTGGCATCTGGGGGGGAGAAACCCCTCCAAGCTGGGTAACTTGATGAATTCTGTACCTTAGCTGAGGGAATGGCAAGAAAATGTACCATGAAGGCAAACACTGAGCTACTGTATGAATGTTACGCCTTTTAAAAATAGTTTCCTGCCAGAAGTGAACGACAGAAAATACATTAGCATGGGGAGCTTACGTGCAATTAATAATCTAAACTTTGTCCTCCTGACAGCACAGAATTGTTTTATAAATTTTTAAATACATGAAATAGATGTTTGACATGAGCAATTAAGGAAAGCTATTTGGAATTACAAAATTAATTAATGCCTTAAAATGTCTTTTCACAGTTACAGACAGAAGCAAAAGTACTGGAAATAGAGTAATGAAGGAGGAAATTGTTAGAGAAACATTTGAAACAAGAAATCTTCCAGTTTTTCTTCTGAATTAAATTGCTTTTAATTTTAGATGCTCAACAGTGATATTTGTATACATTGGGAGTCTCACAAAACCAGGGAGGTTTTGTATGTTAGAAGTCTTGAAAATGTTCAGATCCCCTTTTTGGAGGTATTGGGGAGTTATGTTTTATCTGTTGTTGGAAAAGGGAAGGGCACGTGTCACTGAGGCTTAATTTCATGTTTCCCCACATCAACCTTTATACGCCTTCCAATGGGAAAAGGATTGGTTTTTCTCCATTGAGTGCATTGAGCAGTTAGGAGAATTTCTAGGTCTCTAATCCTCTTCCTTGTGCAGGGAAACTGTTCATTATTTTCAGTTTAATGCCTCCATATTGTTGATCATAAACTTCCCTTACAAAGGTGAGTGTCATTGTCTGTTTACCTGGGAGAATGTGCAGCACAGAAATGGGGGATGATTCATCCACATCATCTTAGTGATCTGGTGATTGAGGCTGCTGTTTTCCTGGTGGCTTGTGCCTTAATCATATCCTCCTGTAAAGGCTGGCTCAGACATGACGTCTCAAGGGCTCTGCTCACATTTTATATTAATAACAAGAAGAAAAAATTACTTTAGATAGAATTCTTTCTCACTTGTTGGAATGAAAAGAGACCCTAATATTACTTTATAATTTTCACAAACTTTCATTTTGCTCTGTTGTTTTGTTTAGCACCACTTGTGAGAAGGTCTGGCAGCCACTCAAGAGAATACAGAAATAGACTGAGTCCAACCTGGATCAGGTCAGACATATTTTTGCCCTGTGCAAATAGAATCACTGCTGGCGTCAACTTAGTAAGGATTTTCTTTTCTTTGTCAATTCAAAGCTTTCTAGATATTTAGATTTTAATATTGAGATTTTTTTTTACATCTTTAGATTTTAATATTAAGATACTTAGGGAGGCAAGAGTATTTCACTCCAAAGCAGTATACAGTGACTAGTGCATCAGGTGAAGCTACCATGGCTACCCCAAGGCTTTTGCAAGTCACCCGTGGCTGACCTCAGGCCAGTCCTGCCTCGAGCTGCTGCACTGCTCACAACCACAGCCTGAAGTTTCCCTGCCCCACGTGTGCCACAGGAGACCTTCTCTTAGAAGAGCAGATTCTTCTTTCCTCCAGCTTCCCAGACAGGCTCAAACCCTGCCAGTATTCCTGAGCAAGAAGGTAAGAGGTTCTAGGCTATGGGTGATGGGAAATTGCTGATTAGAAAACTGAAATCCCCAGCAGTCAGGGTGC